GTTCCAGAACTTTCTCAGGAACGCACACCGTTTTAAGGGGAGCATGGGCATAAAATGCGGGCAGGTCAGGATGACACGGGGAAGGCGTGGTGTGGCTGGCTGGTGAGTCTGGGTGACGGGCACCAGGAACGCAATCTATTTTCTTGTCTATGTTTGTGACGCACGAGAATTCCCATAAGGCGTGTTTAAAAACACACACAAAACACGTAAAACAGAACCACAGGGCAGCCCGGCTTGCTGCGGCGTTTCAGGTCAGAGTGGGCTCCCGGCCTGGCCGGGGAAGGACAGACGGACCGTGAGCTGCAGACGCAGGCTCAGCCACCAAGGGCGAGCGGGTTGAATGCGTAAGCTCCCTGGGCCTCAGTTCCTTCATCTTATTTATTTGTTGTTACTACAAAAGGAGGGAGGGCAAGGCTTTAGGACAAGCGTTGGGGGGAGTGGGCGGTGTCTGGGTGGAGGCCTCCCCAGCGCTGGAACCCCACGTCTGTCGGGCGTCCTCCCTTTGTGCTCTGCAGTCCTGTCCACACCTGTACCCGCGCTCCTTCCCTCTGCTGCAGGCCCACGTGGCTCCGAGGGCGCTGGCCATGTGAAGCACACACACAGCCTGCCCTTTGGTCCTCGCACCCCTTAAATGCACCCGGAGAAGCAATCGGACCCTCTGACGCCCCTGCCCTGCCCTGCGGGGAGCACTCGGGGATCTGCTGGGCGCTTCCCTGCAGGGGACGCTGCCCTGGGAGTGTCCTCCCGCCCATCTGCCCTGGGTGTGTCCTCCCGCCCATCTGCCCTGGGTGTGTCCTCCCGCCCATCTGCCCTGGGTGTGTCCTCCCGCCCATCGGTGAGCCAGCTCTCAGGGGTCCTCTTGTGGCAGCTAAAGAACCGGGTTCTATTATAATATATTAGAACAAAAGAAGGAAACAAACCACAAAAAGTGGGCCCTCAGCCTCTCAGACCCAGGCAGGGGCAGCTGGCAGGCCCTAAAGAGTCACCTGTCCTCAGTCTGTGCCCCTGCCCATCCCCTCAGCCCCTGCCTGGAGCCCCAGCACCGCCGGCCCCCACCCCGAGTCTGCAGTGATAGCTGTGGTCATGGTGGGAGGATGGCCTCCGGTTTGGGACATTGAGGGAGTCACAGTGGCCACCTCCAGGGCACCCGGGGCAGAGGCCAGCTGGACTCCACACTGTTAACAGGATGGCGGATAGCACAGGCCAGGGCGACCTACCTGGCGTCCACGCTGCCTCTCTGTTTGGGCCTCGGTTTCCTCAGCTATCAAGCAGCCCCTGGCGTCACCCTCTGCTCTGAAACTGATTGTCTGACCGAAAGGGAACCCGGGACTCTGCCCCACTCCCGGACTGGCTTTCCTCCGGCCCTTCCGTGTCTGCCTCTCCGCACTGTCTCCCGTCTGGCAATTCCCCGGTGCCACCTGCCCTGGGCCTGCTCAGTGCCCTAGTCACACTGGCCCTCGTCTCGGCCTGCATTGGCACCCTCTCCAGAGCCTCTGCTCTGCCCACCATGTCTGCCCAGCACCCTCCCCCGGGTCCCCATCCCTGAGCCCACTTCACCTGCCTTCATCTACCTCTGCACACCGGGACCTGGCCTGCTCTCCACGCCTCCCGCCTCCCCCTGCCCCTCGCCCGTCCTCCTCCCTTGGCCCCGCTTGTCTGGAAAAGTCCCCTTAAGACTTCCCCTGCAGGTTCGCTCCACCGTTCACTGGATTTCCTGCTCAGCTATTCCGTCCTCACAGACAGCCGCCAGGAATAAAATGCCTTCTCCCCCTCCCTGCCCGGGTCCCGGTGTAATTTCTCCCTAGGCCCAGCCCCCTGGAATGGCCAGCTCACTTGTTTGCTTGTTGTCTGGGGCCAACGGGGTCAAAGCTATAAAGAGGGAAGAGGAGCCCCAGAGGCCGGGAGGCCTGCGGTCGCCGCTCACGCTCACTCCCCGTGTTAAATGAACAACATGAAGGTCAGAGTCGTGCTTGCTTCTGAGAGCAGGGAGGGCCCAGGGGCCTGTTCTGGGCCTGGCAATCCTCCCTCCCCTTGCCTTGAATACTGCCACATGCGGTGCATGTACGGCTACTGCACACAGCAGCGGCCGGGGCTCCCGGCCGGCCTGGGCCTCCGTGACGCGATGCTGATGCTCCTCAGTCTCGGGGTCCCACGTGTTTACAGAGTAAGTGCTGTGGTCCTTGCTGTGGACACCCAGGAAGCAAACCGCCTGTTTCTTGCGTGTCCAGTAAAGCACCCAGGTTCCCGGTGCAGACCCAGCCCCTGTGTGGGCCTCACTCTCATCTGCTTCGGGGCAGAAAGAAGTGTTTTGGCCAGAATGACATGTGTGTCTTAGGCCACAGGCTTCGTGTGACTCCAACTAGTAAGCACAGCAGAGGGTGTGGGCCTCAGGTGACAGTGATACCCAGCGATGGGACAGGATGACAAGGCTGACGGCCCCCCCTGGGGGAGGCCTGGGAGGAGGAGCGCATGGTTCATTTGTTCTCTGAAGGGCAGAACATTCTGGAACACACGGGAGAAGGAAGCCTCTGGGCAGCTGTTCCCCTAACTGGCTCCGTCATATGCAGGGGCCCTGCAGGGAGGGAGACCAGGTGGGCCCACCCCTCCTCCCTGGCTCTGTCTCTGGGGGCTGCCAGGACCAGCCCGGCTCTATCCTGGCCCACGGGTCCCACTGGAAGTTTGTGTCAGCGTCATGGGCACGTGACCTGTGCAGTCCCATGGGACCTGCACTCAAAGGGCCCTGCTTGGGGCTGAATGCTCTGCGGTCGGCTCTGCAGTCGGTGTGTTAAAATTCTGAATAATGTCTTCTCTGCCTTTGTGGTTTGTCAGTGAAGCTGGTGGGACAGCGAATGGGTGCTGGGGACCGGAGACGAGACCCCCTCCTATGGCAAAAGACAGGAAAGCATTTTACATTTCAGTACCCTGAACAGCACCTCTGCCTGCTTTTGAACCAGGGGTTCCTGTTTCCATTTGGCACAGGATCCTGATTGCAGAAGCGTAGGCCCACACAGGTCCCGGGGTGCCCAGGCTGCTCGGGGACAGTCCCCATGACACACCGTGGGCAATTCCCAGCAGCACCCGCCCGCATGCCCACGCCAGCCTCCCCCCAGCCACACGGCCACACAGCCCACGCCCCCCTCTCTGCCGTTCCTCCAAGTGTGGTCTGTGGGCCAGGCCCGGCCCTGTGCTGCTCCCAATCAGACACGTGGAGACCGAGGGAGCACTCACCAGCTCCCCCAGGGATGTGGCCGAGAGGTTTCATGCCGATAGACTCTAACAATGAGACGTTAGCACTTGTGTTTCTTTTCAGTTGGTTTTTCTAGTAATTTTGTCTCCGTGGCTTTTACAGCTGCCGGTGCAGGGGCGGGCCTGGCTTTTGACTTCGGCGGGCTTGTGAGGCTGCTGTGCTCCGTGACTGTGGTCCCACCCGGCTCTTTCACAGCCCTGTCACCAGGCTGCGTCTCAATCGCCCTGGCGCTTTGTGTGGATGTGAATAGGGAATCTCAGGCACATGCACATCCAGGAGTGGCGGCCCCGTTTCCATACCAATGCCAGCGGCTGTGCCCTGGGGCTCTGCCGACGAGGCACCTCCGGCTGCTCTGGATCAGGCGAAGTGCAGTGTGTTGTTATGTTCACATCACACACCTTTCCCCTAAAAGCAGTGATGAAATCTTCCCATCATGGATGGAGAATGTGTTTCAGCTGACCCGCTTTACAACTTGGCTGTGGGTCCATCTTCCTCCTTTTTTTAAAAATATATTTTATTGATTTTTTACAGAGAGGAAGGGAGAGAGAAAGAGAGCTAGAAACGTCGATGAGAGAGAAACATCGACCAGCAGCCTCTTGCACACCCCCTACTGGGGATGTGCCCACAACCCAGGTACATGCCCTTGACTGGAACCGAACCTGGGACCTTTCAGTCCACAGACCGACACTCTACCACTGAGCCAAACCGCTTTCTGCAATCTTCCTCCTTTTCAAAAGGGGCAGGCTCTCCGTTCCTAACAGCCTCCCATCCTCCGTGGCTGAGGAGGACTGGCCTCCATACCTGTGCCTGAGCAGGGAGGCCAAATGCTGCCTCCAGCTGCCTGTCACTCCACTCCCGATGGTGGCTTTTCTCGGGGAGGGGCAAACAGGACCTGGACCTCGGCCTCTGATGAGGTCAGAGAGGACGGAAAGAATTCTCTGTATCACTGAATGGCCCGTTTATATAATAGGTCTCAGCCCTCCCTTCATTTATTCAATTTAACTTACAAGTGGGCACCGAGGACAGAGGTGGTGAGCAGGGGGCTGCAGCCGCGGGGGCACAGGCCAGCGCGGCCACCTTGACCCCCATGGGCAGGGCCTGGAGGGGCAGCAGAGAGCCAGGCACCGGGACCCAGGCAAAGGACGCTGCTGGAGGTAAGGGACCAAGCACAGGATGGAAAAGAGAAACAAGCCTGTGAGCTGAGTGAACTGTGTGTAGGAAACTGTACGGAATCCACGTGGTGTTTATGGAACTTCTTATTTTTAGGAGGAGGAAACTCTTTAAATGTGTCAGTCACTTCTGTTATGAAAAAGCCAGCCTGCTTGTGAGGACAAGGGCCATTCAGAAGACCTCCATCATGCCTGGCCCTTCTCTGGCCCTCATGGGAATGATGGTGGTGACCTTGACATTGGTGGTGACCTTGACCGCTGTGAAGGGGCAGCAGGGAGTGCTATCCTCGGCATCTTTCTGAGGAAAATGTGAGTCACACAGGCTCAGAAGATGCCAGGGCAGGGCAGTCGGAAAGCCTGCCCTCCAGCGTGCACCCTCCAGTGCAGCCCGCTCCTCCCCTGTGTGACATTTCACGGTCAAGGACGAATCTTGGCATATGCCTGCGATCGCATGATTTACAAATCATCCTGTATTTAAAGGAAGCTCGGCCTGCTCCCCAGCAGGGCGGCCCTTCTCTGCGGGAACAGAAAACCAGGGACACGCAGTTCTATTGGAGAGCGAGCAGGAACAATCACTGTTCTGATTGAGTTTTTTAAAAAACATTTTATTTCAAAGGGTAGATAAGTGTTTTGCTAGGCAACAACCGAGAGAACAGTGGCCACGAAACAATCAGCCTGTCAATAAATAACAAATGCCCTGTGTGCCAGCCCCCACGGCACAGCACACACTCCAATAAATAAACAAACCCAGCCGGGGTCTGGCCTGGGGGAGCAAACACATTCCGCACGGGGACCCGCCCGCTGCCAGTGCCTCCCCCTCCGCCCTCAGCCCCCCGCCCCGTCTTCCCGGACCCCACGGGGACCAGCAGTGTCAGGGCCCTTGGAGCTGGGGTGACAGGAATCCGGGGCCCTGGGGCTGGCATTCCCGGTGCCTCCAGGGCCTGCAGGCGTGGACGCGTCATCGCTGCTCGTCTCACAGTGGCTGCCAGGTGGGCACAGAGAGGAAGTGCCGGCGTCTGACTCCATGGGTTCTGGCCCAGTTGTGAGGCTCCGTCTGGGAAGGGGCTGTCTGCTGGCTGGAGCTGACTGTCTTCCACGCGTGTCCTGGGGGTCCCTGCCCTCGGGCACGCACCCCATTCTAGCGTTCCACGCCGAAATACCTGAGAGACAGGGCACCTGGGTGTCCCACAGCACCTGCCAGGTGCCCCGGGTCGCCCTGGTCCCGAGCGCCAGGCCCGCCTGACACAGGGCGGGAGTCCCCGAGGTGGCTTTGTGTCTTGTCCAGGTGCGTGTGCAAAAGGCAGGAGTGAGTCATTCTTTTCAACACAGGATCCTTTATTTGGACTTTTCCTTGAAAGACAGCGTCCCTCTGTGGACCGCGGGGTCAGTGTTCCTTAAACCTGGAAGCAAAGGGCGAAATAGCAGCTGGTCACACCGATGGGCGGTCGGAGGGCAGACGCCTCTGGCCCCGCACAAGCCCCTCGGAGGGAGTGCCACTTCCCTCCCCTCCGTGGGGGCGTCCCGCTCAGCCCCGCCCTACCCCACCCCACAGCTCTGGGGGCCAGAGTGGGAACAGGAAGGGGGCAGAGGCCTGGCTGAGGTCTGGCTACCCCTGAGAACAAGAGCCCAGCAGCCCAGCTCCCTGAGAACAAAGGAGACCATCTCCCGTCTCCCGTCTCCCCGTCTTTCACTCGATCTGCAGGGGAGATGACCAGGATCGATCCACAGCAGCCGTTTGTGAGAAAGGAAAGGGGGAGCTGGCGAGCTGTGGGATGAGGGGGAGCGGGGAGCTGTCTTTCTGCCGTTGGAGCAGCCAGGTGTGGGCGGCAGATAAGCCAGAACGGCCTCTGAGGCAGCGCTGTGATTACAGGGAGGAGGGGGGATAGAGGGATGGGGGGAGGGAAGAAGGCGGGGGAGGGGGGACTTACGGAACTTGATGCCCTGACGCTGACCCTGGGCAGCTCAGCTCCTTGTGTATGAGGCGGATCAGGAACTGCACCCAAACACAGACAAGACCACGGTCACTGCCTAGTGCCGAGACCCCGGGTTCGGCCGCAGCATGCCCTGCCCTGCCCACGGGAGCGCCTCCGGGGCTCTCCCAGCACACACAGCGCCTCCCAGGGACTCGTCTCCGGAACAGAAAGGCCCGAGGCTGCACGCAGGCAGGAGGGTCCCCGTGGAGGATGCACCGCGGGGAGTGGGGCTGCAGGAGAGACCGCAACCTGAGTGACGCCAGGCACAGGCCACGTGTAAGATGAAGGGGCCCCACCATACATGTCCCCGTTGGAAAAGACAGAAAGTAGGACCAGGTGCCCCCCGCCTGGTGACGTGGGGGGGGGGGGGGCTGGGAGCCGCAGCTGGCTCAGGGCCAGGCCGGCCTTCAGCCCGGCCTCTGGGAGCTGAGGTGTCGTCCTGGGCACAGCCCAGCCTGAGGGGACCTGGAGCTGGCTGCCCGCCCCGAAGCCCCCACGCACTGCTGGAGCTGCCGGGGAAACCGAGGCAGCGCAGCCTGTGCCCTGGCCGAGCGAGCTCTTGGCCTTCGTGACCTTCTTCATGCCGAGAGGGCTCAGACCCAGCGCCCCTTGAACCAGTTTTCTCTGTGAGCCTCTGCTCTTTCCTCAGGTGTGACTCCAGCCCCCACGGTGGGCAGTGCCCAGGGGCTCGGGACGGGTCCCCGGGGGACGTCTGTGTCTGGGACACCGTGCCAGCGGGCGAAGGCAGCGGGCACTGGGGGAGAGTTGGGGGGATGGTGTGAAACCCACACAGTCACGCAGGACCCAGGACCGAGCCTCAGCCAGAACCTCAGCCAGAAGCCGGGGGCAGGTTACTTGGAGGCTTCAGGTTCAAGCGGGAGCTTAGAAGCCCCCGAACGTACAGACTAGAGAGAAGAGGCATTTTTCTAACATCAATTCTACCGAGTTCCAAACGTGGAGAGTGTCAGCAGGAAGCAGCCTGTGATTATAAAAAGCGGATCACGGAGAGAGGAAAATACTTGCTGCTTGTTAGTGTCGGATAAGCCCTACGCGGTGTGACAATTCTGAAGGACAGAGCACAGCTTCTGAAACATGAGGAAGTCCGACTCCCGACAGGGGGCCCCCGCCAGCCTGGCCGCTGCATGCACTGTGGAGGGTGGGCTGGTGGATGTGAGCCCAGCCGCCCGTCTGACCACACGCCATGGCAGTCCCCTGGCCTGCAGGTGACAGGGCCGGGACCCCCTGGGGGCCTGCACTTTGCCTCTCTGCATGGCCTGCAGCCATGTTTAAACCAGGAAGAGGAAGGGTCTGGGCAGAGACACTTAGAGAAGTGACGACGCCCAAGACCCACCATCCCTGAGGGTTGCGGGAGCCCTGGGGGAGGGCGCCACACAGAGGCGCCCGGGAAAGGCAGCTCGGACGCGGAGCCGGACTTACCAGTAAGGCACAGGCGTCGGCAAACATCAGCATGTAGAACACATTGTTCCATCCTGACGGGGAGATGAGCCCGGCCAGCAGAGGGCCCAGGGCCGCTCCTGAAACGAGGCAAGAGGCATGTGCCCTGCGTAAGGACAGTCTGGGGCAGACTGTGTGCAGCACCAAGCGGGGCTCAGACCCTCGCTGACCAATGAGCAAAAGCTCGCCAACAGCAGCGTGGCATCCTCACCGGTTAGAGTGGTGAGGGGGAAGAAGCTTAATTATAGTCAGTCCTGCCGAGGGCACGGGTGGCCCAACCTTTTGCTAGAAGCAAATCTAAAATATGGGTTGTCATTAAAATGCTCTTTTGACCCAATAATCCTATTGAAACATTTTATAATGAAGAAATCTGAATCTAATGCTATAAAAAGTATTTGGAGAAATGTAAGGTGCACAGATACTAATAAAGTATCCATGTTAATTTCCTGATTCTGATCATTGTTCTGAGCTCATGCCAGGGAGTTCCTGGCTCCAGGGAAAACATACTGACTACACAGTTAGTGGTAAAGGGGAGGCATGAGTGCAGTTTACTCTTAAGAGGTTCAGAGAAAAGATGCTTATGTGTCCATAAGTGCACATGTGTGTGGACAGGTGTGTGTTGTAAATGTGTGGGGTGAGACACGAGGGAGATGCTAACGCAAACACTGTGTGAATTCTCTGTGCTTGTTTGCAACTTTTCTTAAGTCTAAAATTATGACCACAATTTTTTAAAGAATTATAAAAACAAAACAAATATTCCTTAAAATGCCCAAAGGTCTCTATGCAAGATTGTCTGCACTGGGTTTGGTGATTCATTCTCCCGCAGGATATGGAATGATTGTGTGTGGATGGTGAACTGTCTGATGGGGGAGAAATAGGAAGCATTCACACCAAGGTGTGAACTCCAAGGTTTAGTCTCAGAGATGGAGGTTCCCACCTTATTACTTATGTGCTGACACTCCTGCAAGTGCTTGCAAAGGGCACGTACTACTTTTATCACCCGAGATGTGACTGTAGTTTTCTTTGTCTCAGGAGAACTTCCAGGTAAACACGGCAAGTTGTTCTATAACCTCCCAAACACCACAAATGAATTTTAAAAAAATCATAAACCCACAAAGAGAAGGGAGGTGAGAGGAGGCGCCGGTCCCTGGAGGATGGGTTTTATAGGACACGACAACAGACATGGCAGGTGCTACTTCCCTGTTCTAGAGCAGTGGTTGGCAAACTCATTAGTCAACAGAGCCAAATAGCAACAGTACAACGATTGACATTTCTTTTGAGAGCCAAATTTTTTAAACTTAAACTTTTTCTAAGGCCACTTCTTCAAAATAGACTCGCCTAGGCCATGGTATGTTGTGGAAGAGCCACACTCAAGGGGCCAAAGAGCCGCATGTGGCTCTTGAGCCGCAGTTTGCGGACCACGGTTCTAGGGGAAGACGCAGGGACCCCTGCTCAGAGCCAGGCCCATCCAGGCCCAGGAGCAGGGGAGGGCGGGAGGAGCAGAGGGTGGAGGGGGAGTGGCGGGGAGGAAAATGGGAGTTGGCTATTTTCTTGTCTAAAGCACTGCTCCATATGTCCCTCCACTCCCCTCCCAGGTTTCTCCTCCCCAACGTCATACCCCAGTGCACACCCCGTGGAATCCCCTCTCCTACAGGAGAGCACAGATTAGCCTTCGGAGAATTCGCGCCGGAGGCTCTGGGCCCCGGACACCAAGGTCCGTGTGGGCGGGATGCGTTTGCAGCCAGGTACCGGGGAGTGCGGGGGAGGCCACCGCCCTGGCCTCCCACACACAGCAGAATGCCAGTAGCCAATGCCCTGCACCCCCTGGGCACTGGGGCGTCTCCTCCAGATTCCCGGCGGACCCACGCCCTGAGGACCAGCAGCGACATGCCCGCCCATGAGCAGGGCTTCTCATAGGTGCTCAGCGGCTCGTCCTGAAGCACGGATGTATGAAGGGCCGGGCCAAGATCCAGCCGTATCTGAGGAACGGTCAGCGAAGCAAATGAGCAGGAAATGCCCAGGCTGGGGAGAAGGAAATCCAGGAGAGCGCTACCCTCCGAGCTAACGGACACTTAGGCTGAGCCATCTGAAACGCCACTTCTGTGTCTGAAACCAGGTCGGCATCGGCAATGTCAATGACTCGGCCTAACCGCAGCCAGGCCGTAAGAGGAGGCCACGCCAAGGGCAGGCGAGCCTGGTGAATATTAGCACCACGTGAGCCAGAGGGGAGGGCACTGCAGAGGCCGGGCTGCTGAGGACGCCTCTGAGAAAGAAGAAAAATACGGTGCAGGAGGAAGGAAAGAAAAGAGAATGGAAGATCAAGCCAGAAAGTTCAACATCTGAAGAGTAAGTTTTCCAGAAAACAAACGAACAAAAAAACAACCACAGAAAATAGAAAAAAACGTAACAAAGACAAACAGAGGCCCCTGTGCCAGCGATGAGGGCGTGTGCACAGACCGAGGGACCCGGTGCCCAGGGCACAGCGAGCGGAGAGAGGCCTCAGAGATAAGGACGGGAACCCCAGGGACACCCAGGCCAGAAACAAGGCCTGGGCTAAGCACCACGTGGACTCCTCCGTGCAGCCCGGCGCCCCCACCTCAAATTCCGTTAGGATTAACTCTCCAAGCGATGGCAGAATTCAGACACCGAGGCCCTTCCGGCGCGCACTCCCCCTCCAGCCTTTCTCTGCTCTGCCACGCTGGGCGGCACTTCCGGAGAGAAAGAGTGAGGGGGAGACAGCGGTGGACAAGCGTGTGCCGTTTCCATGGCGACCGCATCCTCAGGGCCTGTGCCCTGGAGCGGCAGAGCCTGGTGGTCGGGGTCGCTGCCAGGCCTCCGCGTGTGGGCAGGACCATCCGCCACGCCAGCGAGGGCTGCGGTCAGGGAGGGGTCACACGTGGTTCGGGCGGCCTCTTTCGTCCTCCGTGGGGTCACGGGGCTCAGAGCTGTGCTTGGGCTTCTCCCACGCAGCTCAGAGCGGCCCCTTTGCAGGTGCAGTGACTCCCTCTCAAGCAGCTAGCTCTGCTTCCCTCTTGCTTTGAGAATATCAAGACAGACGTGCTTTTCTCCGCATTCATTCCTTTTCTGGTTGAGCCCCATCCTTGCTTTCTGGCAGCAACCCGGTGTGCTGGCCTCTAACAGTGCTCACAGTGGGAGCGGATGGACCTACGCCGTCTCCGGGACAGGAGGCGGAGCGCAGGCTGGACAGTCCCAGTCCACCCCCGTCCGACTTCCCACGGGCATGACCTCCAGCTGTGGAGGTTCCCCGTGGGCCACGTGAGCCAGGAGAGCAGGCCTGCTCCATGCGGGGAGCTGAGCTGCCTGCAGACACCAGGGGGCAGTGAAACCCCAGGGGGACGATCTCACGTGAAAACAGACATCCCAGAGGTGGGCACGAGTCCCGTCCAGCACCCCCAACAGGAAGGCACCAACGATGAGGACAAACACGGGGCTGCTCTGACCCCGGGGACACGGAGGTTTGAGCCTGTCTCCTGGACAACGGGCGGCCAAGGGCAGGCACAGGTGGCTCCGGACCTCCGCCGGGAGCCGTCACGGTGCACGTGAAAGCTCCAGGAAGGGCAAGGGCACTGCCCGCTGCTGCCAGCCTAGGGACTGGCTGGTGAGAACAGGCTGGTGGTTACAGTGCCCACTTGTCCCTCTCCGAGGATGAGCTGCGTATTTGACCACCTTTCTGTCCTTCAGAACATGCTACTGAACGGTCTCCCGGCACCTCAGCGAGGCTGGGGACACTGGAGTCCGGCTCGCCTTGGGGCCTGTTAGTGTTCCTGCCATTTCATTTCCATAGAGTCTGTCCCAGAGGCGGCGGCGACACAGTCCCGGGCAGTGGGCCGCGGGCCGGGCGGAGTGTGCTGACAGGTGGCATGGGAAGCCCTGGGTGCTCTCACATGGACAGAAAGTTCCAACCAGCCTCACACCCATGTCATCTCCGGAACCATCCGGCCAGAGGACAGACGGTGCCACCCCCCATCCCTGGGGCTTGCTCTGCTCGTATTTTAAGAAGGCCGGTGGATCTCAAGGTCACAAAAGCAATCGGAATCGTGGCAACTGTTAATTAGGATGGGACCGTGTGGTTTCCCTGTGACAATTAGATTTTAGAGCTAAAAATGCCCACGTACCTACAGACCCGGTGCCGTCGATGATGGCGGTCACGGTGGCGAGGGCGTGGGAGTTTCCTTTCAGACTTTTGTGAGTCCCCTGGAGAGAGGGAGAACGGGGTGAAGCGCATCCCAGGAGATCGGGGGAGAAATGAGCTCCCCTTCCCCAGGGCACCCGCACGTAACTCTGCAGGGCAGCTCTGGGCATGGCCTCTGCCCTCTGAGCCCGCCCTGGACAGACCGGCTGTCAGTCCTGTGCCCACTTCCCCTCGCTCACTCCTCACACGGCCATGCTACGTCTGTTAGAATTAATGACCCCGCATGGAGGACATTAACTAAAATCTATAAGTTATTCAGAGAGCATTGGCCTTTTATTGGATGTTTAATTCCATCTCTTCCTGTCCCAGGTTCCCGTCCAGGAACCCACGTGACCTTGAGTCATCGTGTTGGCTATGACGAATTCCCAGAATTCCCTTGTTCTGTTGGCCTGGACAGCTGTGAGGGGTAGGATGCCCTCTGCTGGGATCTGTCTATTTTTCTCATATTAGTTGGGGAGAGGAGGATTTGGGAAAGAAAAACTAGACCATAAGTGCCATTTTCGGCCCTTCGTATCAAGGGCACATGTGTCGATATGGCTTATCACTATTGCCACTGACCTTGACCCCTCGGCCAGCACTTGCCCTCCTGTCCCCGGCTCTGCGCTGAGACACGTGTCACTCACCAGGTCTGCGGAGACGGCGGTGGTGATGAGCGCGTACGGCCCGCTGACCAGGGCCCCGCAGAGCAGCAGCATGGCTGTGGGAACCGGAAACCACGGGGGAGTTAGGGAGTCTCAGCAAACCCGAGGTGGGCAGCCGGCATCACAAAGGGGTCCTGCCCCAGGGGATGCTGGGAAGGTGGCCCACAAGCCCAGGAGGGGGGCCAGCCAGCACAATGGTCATAAACAGCTCCCTTTAGAGCTGCCCTGAGACCTGCTTGGCAAGTCCAGCCACTTTCCCCAGAGTCAGGCTGTGCTCGGACCCGGAACTCCGCTCTTCCACCTCCATGGACAGCAGCTGCCGACACACTGAGGGGGCTCGAACCCGGGGCACCGAGTGCACACCTGACCACACATGTGCCCCCTGATAGCAAATGCCCCTGTGGTCTGCTGGCCATGACCAGCCACAGCCTTATCTGCAGCGGCAGGCCTGCCCTGCACCCACTCCGAGGTGCCATGGTGCCCGTTTCTGAAATGGTTACCTCCTAAACCGCCCTCCAGGTCACCTCCTCTGTGCAGAGGCTTTTGGGCCAGGGGTAGCAGCAACCTCCGGATAGCCCCCATTAGCAACCTGCTTCCCCGTCCCTTCCCTGGGGTCACACTCAGCCTTCACCCCCGCCCATCCCCCTGCTGGCTTGTTAGGATGGAAAGAATATTTCTAAGTGTCAGAGCGGTGAGGTGACAGTGCGAGTTAAACAGCCCCAGAATGGCGGTGACAGGAGCCAGCTGGGAGGAAGCTGGAGCTGCCTGCCTCGCTCCTGTCTGCTCTCACCTGCCGGGGTGCAGGGGACATCTGGCCTCTGAGCGGCTCCTGGCCACTGGGCACCTGAGGCCGTCCCTGCCGAGGCCAGGCGGCCTGCCCCTCCCACACGGGCTCTCACCCTGCGGACCGGTGGGCCTGTGCCAGTGAGCAGGAGCCCGTGGGCCTCTCCCACGCCCCCACCCAGAGGGGCACGCGGACTAGTCCGGCCTCGCCCAACGCCCCAGGCACACCAGCTGAGGGCTCCTTGGTTAGTTTTCACCTCATTGCACCAGCTGTGGGGTGAGGAGACGCGGGAGAGAAGAGCGGGCCTGAGGACTCACCGACGGTGGCTTCCAGCCCCATTCTGCTGATGGTGGAGAAGATGTAGAGCTGTGAATGGCGAAAACAGGGCAGCAGGGGGTTACGACAAGGGGCCGAGAGGGTGCCCTGGGGTCTGTGCTTCCGAGAAGCCGGGCAGGTGGTTCTCAGGAGCCAAGCAGACCGGGGCAGCCCTGAACGGAATGGAGGCCCCGTCCCTGGCTGGGCGGGCTGAAGGCGGCGTCTGTGGAGGGGCTGGCACAGAAGCCACTGGCCTTGTCCCCCACATGCAGGTTGGGGGACCCTGCGGCACTTCCTCCTCTGAGCTTCTGGGCCAGAGGACTGGGTTGGGACAGTTCTCCTGGAGTCTAACCACTGACCCACAGCGGCACTGGGGAAGCGGGGGGCCAAGGCCTGGGGGCCACACGCAGTCAGTTCCTTTGTGAAGGTTCTCTGAGTGTCTGCTGGGCAGTGTCTGCCACCCAAGATGACAGAAAACTAGCCGGGTCTGGGGACAAGCACAGCCCAGTGGAGGGGCAGACCAGATAATCACAACGTGAGTTGGGGCGTAACAATGTTACATGTAACATGTTGTAGAGACAGCCGTGATATAATGCTTCGTTTAACCCTCACTGACAATGAGGTGCCGCTGCTCTCACTGTGCAGACAAGGAACGGAGCTGCAGGGCGGAAAGCCACATGCCAAGGTCGCGCTCCACCGAATGCCAAAAAGCAGCATGGCCGCTGCGAACACGGTGGCAGGGTCAGCGCGGACGGATGGCGTGGGATCCGGAGGGTCAGTGGGAGTCTGGGGAAGAGGTGGGGAGGCCCCGTGTGCAGTGAGTGGGGGAGGCCGGGGCTCTCAGGCCCACAGGGTTTGCGGAGGGAGGTCTGAGCCATGGAAGGAGTGGGCTGGGCCGGCGGAGAGTGCTCGCTGGTGGAGGACAGGGGGGGATGGCAGGGTTGGGGGAAGGGGCAGCTCACCGTCGGGGCCGCAAGCAGCAGCATCAGCCCGCAGGTGGAGGCCCTCTTCTCTAGCCGGTCCGAGATGACTCCCGCCAGGATGCCACCTGCCGTGCAGAGGGGGGTGCTGACGGCCGCCACCTTGGGCGAGGCCCCCCGGAGAGGAAGCAGGATACGCATGCAGGCACAGCCGTCCCTGCCCAAGTCCCCTTGCACATCCCGTTAGTAGGAAGCCGTCTCAGAGATGCCTGACCTCCGAATAGGCCGATGTGCTGTGGTCAGACACAGTGACCGGAGGCACCTCCCAGGGAGACAACGCGGGAGCCCCGGGTCTGCCTCAGGCCAGAGAGCCCCGCTGCCAGGTCACTACCCCCGCCCGCTGGCCACCCGCTGGCCGGTCTGACGGAGCTCACAGGCAGAGGCAGAGCCAGACGCGGAGGGGCACTCCCACTCAGGCGGGACATCTTGGGGCACACCATACTCTCGGGAAGTCAGCTCTGAGGGGTCCCAGCCCTGGTGCTCACATGCCACTGCCTGTCCCCACGGAGCAGGGGGAGGAACTCACCGAAGATCCCGCCCACGTCAAACAGGGTGGACAGCTCGCCCGCCTTCTTGGCGTCCAGGTGATCTGTTAGAGTGAAGGGTGTCGCTGTGGGGAAGATGCTCCCACCGCTTCCTTCTGCCTCCTCAGCTGATCCGCTCCGAGGAGCAGCCCGCTAACTCCGACGGCAGAGAACCAGCAGCCCAGCCCGTGGGGGGACTCACAGGAAGATGGAACCTAAACACTCGCCCCCAATGAGCACGGGTCCCTCCCAGTCTCACTGGCGCCGCCTTTGGTTCAGTGTCGCCAGTGTTCCAGGCAGCACAGGACAGAAGTGGGGTCGCTAGACAGGGAAGGATCCCCGAGCTCCTGACTGCCTTCCCTGCCCCCCACAGACCCTGCCCCTCCCTGTCCCCTCCGCCTCCATCCTGTGACATTCAGCCCTCCTGCTCGGGCACAGGCCACGTCCGCTTGTCCTCATGACACTGGGAACATGCGATCTGCACCCTGCAAACCCACATTCCACATGTCTCCTCCCCGTCCATTCAGCAGAGCCGGCATCTCCCCACCTCTCAGGGGGACACCCAGACATTCAGGGTCCTATCTGACCGTCCTTCCCTGCCCATCCTCATCCCCTTTCAGCCGAGGCTGCAGCCCCCGGCCGCGGGATCTTTTCTCTGAGGAACGTCTGGACCCCTCTTGCCTTTCCTGTGTGGTCACACCCGGGGCGTGCACACTGGTATTGAGCTGGTACGTTCTGTCACCACCTACAGCGCCAGCCCTGCTGGACTTTGGAAGTAAGACGTACTATCTGTTCTTCCCTCAAATTGGAGCTCATCCCCAGGAAGCAATTTCCAGGTCAGACCATCACACTTATTATCTCAGCTCCCTGGGGCCTCTGCTCCTGCTCGCCAGCTGCCGGGCCCCACGTCTGAGGGAAGCAGATTTAAATGCAGGCTGCCCCGGATCAGGAGACCCCGCAGAACCAGCAGCCACAGCTGGGACACACATGCCAGCCCTTTAACCCATCAAGGTTATTGCCATGGCAACAAAACGTGCCCGGCAGAGCTGCCTCTGTGTCTGTACATGTCCACTACTCATGCCGCTGGGTTCAAAGTGTCTCTCACATCACCATGTATCGTGGATGCCTCTCCTTCCCAAGTCCCAGGGACCAGCCAAGAAAGGGAGTTTGGTCACAGCCTCCGCACAGAACCTAAGAGAGCGCTTCCAGCCACAGGCACTCACCGACGTTTGTGATGTAGAGAGGGAGCCAGAAGAGGAACGTGTAGCTGACCAGCTTCGCAAAGAGCAGGCACAGGGAGAACTCGACCACACCCTGAAAGAGAGCGAGCCTGCTGACCCCAAAGGTGCACTCCCTGGGTTCACTTCAGGGTGCGACTGAGCCACAATGCCCCGACGCCCATACTCGCCACAGCTCTGGGAGGGCTGGCAGTGCCCAGGCCCGCCACAGTGAGGTGAAGCACGAGCTGTCCACGTCAGTGGCTGGAGGACTCCTCTACGCCCGAGCTCGTCCAGGAGCTCAGTGCTGGGAGCGCTGATTTTGCACAGGGGATACCCCAGCCAGAGGGGGTGTGTGTGTGACTTACTGCACCCTCACTGTGTAGCTGGCATTGTGCTCCTTCAATCTTGAACAGCAGTAAGCATCACACTCTTTGCCGAGTGATGATGAGGGAGCGGGGGCTCCGAGTGGCTGACACTTGCTGGGACACCCAGCTCCTCCGAGGCCAGGGCTCTCAGCCTGCTCTCTGTTCAAACCCATTTGCATTTCTTAACTAGTGTGTACACCTCTTTCAGTAAAAGTATTTGGGCGCTGCACAATAGGTACAACAGAAATGTTACTAGTTGTTAAGAAGACACTTTTTAAAATAAACTCCTATTTAAAACCAGTGTTTCCTGCCGGGACCGGTTTGGCTCAATGGATAGAGCGTCGGCTTGGGGACTGAAGGGTCCCGGGTTCGGTTCCGGTCAGGGGCATGTACCTTGGTTGCGGGCATATCCCCGGTAGGGGGTGTGCAAGAGGCAGCTGATCGATGACTCTCTCTCATCGGTGTTTCTAACTCTATCTCTCTCCCTTCCTCTCTGTATAAAATCAATAAAATATATTAAAAAACAAAACAAAACAAAAAAAACCCAGTGTTTCCTGCAGGCCAGCCCAGAGCTCTCTCTCTCTCAATGGCGGGCGGCCAGGCTGGGCTGCAGCATCCTTGACTGAATTATGCCTATTTTTAAAATATACATATATTAAATATATCTCTCCTCAGCTTTAAATAAGGAACAAGCCTGGTTCTGTGGCCCATCAGCTTCTGTCTGCACCCCTCACCCTCCTTCCTGGTAGAACACGGTCAATGAGACCAGGTCTGGGTGAAGAAAGTGGAGCGGGCCCATCCCAAAGAGTAGAACGCAGGCCCAGCGCCTCCCAGGGGCCACGGCAGGTCCTCAGGGGCCAGCAGGCGGCTGGGAGGGAGGGAGTGACACAGGGTATGAAGGCCCAGTAGGGCCAGAGACTCGGGTTTACAAGGGAAGATGAGAGGCCTGTGTGTCTATGACATTTCTGAATTTCTAAGTGGATACAACTAATTTAAAAACTTTTTAAAACACAGTGTGAGGCAGACAGACGCTCAGGGCCGGGCTGCCCGTGAATGGGCCTGCTGAGGCTCTGGCCTGTGCATTGCTGATCACAGGTGCCTTTGCTAAGCTCAGTTATCAACAGGCCGGTTCATCTACCATATGCACCGATGCCCCCTTTGGAAACTCTCCCCATGCCAGTACTTACAGGGATTTTCAAGGCCCCAGTGAAGCTGATGGCGGCCATGCTGCCCCCGCCCTCGGCCGGGAGGGTGACCACGTGGTTCTGATGGACAGCACGCTTCCCGTCCGACAGCAGCAGGCACTGCACCTCTGGGTCCTGGAGGTGAGCCCATGGGAAAGAGAAAGGCTGTCAATGCCTCTGGTCGAAGGGAGGCCAGGGTTCCTGATGCCTAAGGGCTCCCCTGAGAGCCTCGGGGCATCTAGAACATTCTCACCACAGTCATCACTTAGAATCATTAGCTTCCCGCATTTTTAGGAAGTACTAACAAAACATGCAAAACCCTCCGACCCAGCCATTCTAGGAATCTATTTGTGAAAAATAATTTGGATGATGAAAAACTACTTATCCAATAAAATGAATGTCAACCACCATTGAGGAAAATTGGTAAAGTCCATCCATAGTAATAATATATCTTGTAGTTATAAAAAAAAGTTAGATTTTAATGACATGGTAATATGCTCAAAATACTGAAAATTGTATTTTATCATGATTTCAAGGAATATATACATATATTATAAATATTTATATATGTGTGCATATATATATATATATATATATATATATATATATATATAAAAGGCCAATATGCAAAGTGTCCCCTCAGAGGTTTGACTGGGAGACCAGGAGTTTGATTGCTCGCTATGATGTGCACTGACCACCAGGGGGCAGGGTGGAACGAAGAAAGGCCCTGGTTGGCAGCCAGTAGCCCGGAAGGGAAGCCCTGGATGGCAGTTAGAAGGAAGGCCCCGGCCAGCAGCCAGAAGGCCCCTATTGGCCCTGATCACTGGCCAGGCCTATGGATCCTACCTGTGCATGAATTTCATGCACCGGGCCTCTAGTATACAGATATAACAAGGTAACTGTGCAATGTATCATAGAAAGAAGCTAAATTCTAACCCGGCAATGATTATCAACAAGTGGTGAAATTACATGCAATTTTTATGAAAATAAATGCTTTCTATGATCCTGCATTTTTTTAAGGAGCTCACAATGGATGTACATAATCAGAACCAACATTATTTCAAGATGCATAAACCAATTCTGATATTTTGTAAATTTTGATTCTGGACATTGTTAAAGGACAAGTTAGCACTATTAAAGCAAAGAACATTGGTTCCCAAGGGGGGTTGAAGTTCCAAGTGTGAGCAAGATGGCCTGAAACTGTTGCTCACGCCTAAACTATGAAGTTCAAGGACTTAGAATGTTTCTCTGTATTTCAGACTTCCCACAGAACAAAACCGCCTGTAAGTACTTATCTCACTACAGCCTATGCCAGCTGGATTACAAATGCAATTTATTAAAAACAAAACAAAAGGAGATGACAATGCACTGCGATATCTGTCTCTCCATACTTAGAATTCTCTCCCAGCGAAAAACAGCAATTGGGACAACTGGGGGCGGGCGACAGCCACAGCTGCAACGTGGGCTCAGCCCAGCACCTCGCGTGGGCAGCAGGGTGCCATCCCGAGAGCCGGGAAGTGACTTGCTGGCAGATGTGGCACAGGGGACTGGCCTTTGGGTAAACATGGCTACGTTCACCGCACACGTGATGCTTCAGCATAACGATGACATACATGAACATGAAGAACTGCCACTTGAGTTTGGAAATCAACTTTTCTCTCATGAATTATGCTAGCTGTCCAGGTCAGGAGACTTAAGTCACAGTTCTCAACCCTGAGTCTCCTGGGCTCTGAGCCAGTCCGGGGCGCAGGCTGCACCCAGACAATTACAGGGGTCCTTGGAGCAGGCCCCGGGGGGCCCAAGTTCCCGGCTGAGAACTGCAGAACTCCACGAGTTTACAAACACTAAGCAGGCAGGGCCGAAGGAAAGGCAGTCATGATGGGGGCTGAGGAACACTCCACTCTGAGGTCCTGTGGGCCTGAGCCGGTTCCCTCTGGGAAAGAGGATGCCAGGTTTTCCTGCTGAACTTGTGGGTCACCCTGCCTGCCCACCAAGAGCCACCTGCAGTGTGTGAGCTCTTCCTGCAGCACAGGGCAAGGGCCAAAGCCCCGTGAGTGCTCAGAGGCCCCTCTGAAGGGCCAACAACCGCCTGGTGGCGTCCGCCCTGAGTCAGCCTGCGGTGCGGCCGGGCCTCTAACTAGGTGACTGTCCCTTTGGTGACAGCTAGTAAACAGACTTCCGTAGAAGGACCAGGAGAGAAAGGAGCGACATTTACTCAGAAGACATGGCCGGCTTTAATGGTGAGGAGCTGCACCAGAACACAGGCCTGAGGTCAAGGGCAAAGTCAAGTCTCCAATAACAGTTGGAGAGGGCCCAGTGGGCATGACCCAGAGGTTGAGCATCGCTCTATGAACCAGGAGGTCACAGTTTGATAAAGCAATCGGGGAGATATTGAGCCATTTGGACATCGATTAAGACCTGATGCTGTGGACCAAATATTTGTGCTCCTCCCAAATCCATGTGTTAAACCCCAGTTTCTGATGTCATGGTATTTGGAGGTGGGCCTTTGGTCAGGAGGGGAGCCCTCTGGAGGGGATTAGTGTCCTTACGAGGAGAGAGGTTGCTCCTCTCCTTGCTCTCCGTCTTCCTGGCATTTAAGCTGGTGTGTCCTCCCTCTCTGCACCCCAAAATGGAAGTTCCACAGGAGCGAGATGTGTCACTGATGCCCATGGCACAGCCTGACCTGGAGCAGTGCCCGCCTCACGGAATGCTGCAAACACTTGCTGGACGAATTAACGACTTTCAAATTTGATTTTTAAAATGTAAAGTAAGCTTAGCCTGTTACCTAGAGAAATCTAACAAGGACCAATTTGAGACTCAGTTTTGTAAGGATCTGGATGTCCGGGATGGGTCCCCGAGGTGGTGATTCTGACCGCCTGCTGAGCGGCTGGGGGATGACTCACCAGCAGCTTCTTCTTGTCAGGCAGGGCTTGCTTCTGCAGGCGAAACCTGTGCACGCCATTCTCGTAGCTCTTTGCGTGCTGGGAGGAAAACATTAGTTAGAGCAATGACTGAACCCACAGCTGGAAACCACACCTCACGTCACAGGCGCGGGGACACGAAAAGCAGAGAGCGAGTCCTTACCGCCACCAGGGTGGTTGAGCAGGCGATGTCCTTCGGATCTGAAAAACCAAACATACAGTCACCTGTGAACCCGGGGCCGGGTATGTCCTCCAACACAAACACTAAACCAAAACAAGACCCATCTGACACTTTTACTCAGTCAGCAGCGATTTCAGAAAAAAGACAAGACCCGACTGGTGGAGGGAGGCCACAGGGCGGCGGCCACCCCACAGGGAACCCACAGCCCCTGCCCTCCCCCCGCCACCAGCGAATGCGAGCGGCAGGAGCATGGAGCCTGCTGCCCAGTACGGAGAACAAGCCACATGGGACACCCAGACACGCCGGCACACGCATACAGCGGCCACAGGCATGTGGAGTGTGTCTGAAGGAGGAGTTCCGGGAGGAAATGTAAGAACAGGAAAAGCTTTTCAGCATAGAAGGGTACAGGTGACATTGGTGATGAGTTGCTTAGGGCCATGGAGTGAATTAGAAATGGAAATTAGTGGAGACCCACATCCACCTTGATGTAGAAGAAAGCGCCTGGTATCTGAATGCCAGGAGGCCGGCCACCGGAAAGAGGAACAGACTGGGAGCTGGGCTTTTCCCTCCTGTAGCTGGGAAAGGGCTCTGGTGCAGTGGGCACCGGTGGCCAGCACGGCCGTGAGGCGTGAGGGAAGTAAACTCACTCTTCAGAGTCCAGAGGCTGCTTTTCATCAGCCCTGTTCCCTCCCCACACCCGGAAGGCTGGTCTTTTTATTTATTTATTTATTTATTTATTTATTTATTTATTAAAATATATTTTATTGATTTTTTATAGAGAGGAAGGGAGAGGGATAGAGAGCTAGAAACATCGATGAGAGAGAAACATTGACCAGCTGCCTCTTGCACACCCCCTACCGGGGATGTGCCCGCAACCAATGTACATGCCCTTGACAGGAATCGAACCTGGGACCTTTCAGTCCACAGACCGACGCTCTATCCACTGAGCCAAACCGGTTTCGGCGGAAGGCTGGTCTTTTAATAACTTTTGGCGAAACAGCTTAATTGCCTCGAAACACACTGAGCTAAAGGGCTGTATGTTCCCACAGCTGAGTTCCCTCCCGTGTGACACAGAGGGTGACTCCCCCTCAGAGCTGGCTTGCCGCCGAGGAGGACCAGGGAAGCCGAAGGCACAGGTGCAGGTCCGGATGTGCTCACCTGTCCCCCCACATCGCTAAGATCTCATAGGACAGCTCCAGGCATGGCCTCTCGTGGCCTTTCTGCCCCAAGAGTGGACCCAGGAGGAGAAACAGAACCCCACGGTCACCACAGTACGAAGCGGGAAGCCAGCAGGGGGACCCCTGGATCAGAGGAAGCTGACAGGAGGTGACAGGATGATAGGAAGGCAGTTCCAGGAAAGCCCTCTGTTCAGAATCTCAGCATCGCCCCTCCATCCCCAGCCCCACACCAGCAGGAGCCGCAGGAGCGGTGGCTCAGTGGGAAGGAGGCTCTCATTCATTTGATTACAAAAGACCAAACCAACGCTTCCTTATTCTTGGAAATCCTGCCCTGGCTGGCCGCTGATGGACCTACGAGGGGATGGGCACTCGGATCCCAGGCCAGGTCAGCAAGCTCCCGCCCACGGCCACACGCCTCCCTCCTCAGAGCCATCTCTTATCAGCTAAGGAAGAGAATAAGTCACGGTGGACTCCAGACCTTGGGCAGCACAACGCACTGCATCTGGGGACGCTGCGCTGGCGAAGAGGAAGTGCCTGCTCTCGGGTGACTAATGCGTGAAGCACACCGGGAGAGCCAGGTGGCAGGACCCGGCCTGGAGGAAAACAGATGGCACGGCTGACCTTTCCCAGAACTCGGGGACACGCAGGCCCAGGGAAAGGCGTGTGCGACCCGAGCGCCCTGGCATCCAGCAGCACCAGCTTCTCCGCAGCTGGCACATCTGACAGCCTTTGTCCTGCGGGGCCTCTACTTTAAAAACCAATTTGAAATTCAATTCAAACGAGCTTGTAACTGAGTCTAGAACGGAACGCTCTTCACCCAAGTAAGATACATGGTCATAAGCTATGCCATGGTTTACAACGCTGTTCCAGATAGACCTTATCAGAGAGCAAACAAGGCCCTGGTGAGCAGGTGCCGGGCTGGGCACCTCGCCCCCGGTGGTGAGCAACGTGGCAGGCCCCAGGAAGTGGCGAGACTCCCGGGCACAAGGAGAACCCTGCATGCCTGACGCTGCAGGGCGGGGGGAACGGTGGAAGGAATTTCAACCTATTACTCCAGAAATCAGGAAACGGCAGAAAGTCCAGCATGACCAGGAGGGAAACAGCTAACGGGGAAGGCGGCACCGGAAGGAGGAGTCTACCTGATGGGGGGGGGAGGGGAGCCAGAACTACGCAACAGCCCGCTCACAAACCCTCCGGGGTGGCGGTCGCTCAGGCACGGGTACTCACGCTCGATGAGGAAGAGGAAGCACACGACCCCCATGGCCGCCACGATGGCCCCAGGCACGATGAAGGACAGGCCCCAGCAGGTGGACACCCAGTAGCCAGCAATCAAGGATCCCAGGATGTTGCCCACGGAGGTGTGGGAGTTCCAGACCCCCATGATCAAACCTCGCCTGCAACACAGACACAAGGCAGCACGTGATGTCCAGAGGCTCAGGGGGCCGCTGTGGGGGACATGGCCCTGTGCCACGTGGGAGAGCTGGCCGGGCTGGAGGCGGTGCGGGAGCTGCTGGGCGCGGGGCGGGGTGCTTGCAGAGGACGGGGCTTCCTCTCCCCTCGGAGACACAGGTGTGTATACACGTCTCGCTCAGGGCCTTTTTATTTACGTTTAATAAGAGGAATGAGGCCTTTTCAGGAAGTTCTTGGAGGTCCCCAAATTTAAACAGGTGCCTCTGAGGACTAAGTCCAATCATTTGATGAACTAGCCCATTAGCATGGGTTTCCGCTGGCTCAATGGATGGAGTGGCTAAACGAGGCTCAGGGAGCTGGCTTCCTGTTCCCGTTCTCCATTTTCAGTATCACCCCACCTCCCTCACCCTGGCCCTGGCCGGGGCTGTGGGCCACACAGCATCACTGTGGCATCTGGACCTGTCCTGCTTCCATGTGCCTTAGCCTTATTTTCAATGTGGCCTGAGGCAGGGTCCACCCTCTGCACGCCTCCCCGGTCCCCGGGGCGGAAAAGGCCGGGCTGCCGGCCAGCTTTGCAGGAGGACACAGACCCGCCCCGCCCACAGCACGGGGCGCATCTCCTGGGACAAAGGTCACCTGCATTTCAGAACCTCTGGGCCCAGAAGTTTCAATCATTTTATTTCCTAGACTAAAGTGTTCCCCCTACAATAAATCTAAAGAAAAACGGAAAAGAAAGTCTTTAAAAAACAAAAACAAATCTTTTACAAAATAATGCTGCTGGAAACACCTTCCTTTTTAAAACCTTTCATTGCTCTATGACAGCTGCCACTCAATGGTATTTCTATGACAGCTGCCACTCAATGGCATTTTGCTTTAGTGCCAGGCGTGCAGCAGGGGGTTAGACAATCACACACTGACAAGGTCTCACCTTCCTTTTCCAAACCAGTTGCTGAGGCAGGTGACGACGCTGGGCCAGCCGGTGGTCTGCACCAGCCCGTTGATGATCTGTGACAGAGGGGGAGGGCGGCTCAGGAGGGGAACACTGCTCCGGGGGGGCTCACAGACGCTGCCCCTTCTCCACCAGTGTGGGAGCACAGCTGGGACCCCCACAAAAGAAGGGGGTCAGAGCCCCGAGAGCCAAACATTTTAATCTATATGTGTAATTGCAAATCTAACACACGCCTATGGCGAACATTTTAGAAGTGGGGAAAAGAAAGAAAAAGAAATCTGTGGCTAGAAGATGAACTACTGGTAACAGCCTGGGCCAAGGGGTTCAATCGCTGTCTAATCTAAATTTTATAAGAAGAGAAAAAACTGTTCTTTTCCTAGAAATGTGATTGTACTGTAAACGTGGCTTGCAAATTGCATGCTTTCACTTGTTATGTTGTGAAGAAGGTACTGTTGTTAATGATACTCTGAACTGAGATTAACTTGGATCTAAAGCCTAAAGAAAGCATTTCTTCCCTTTTTAAGAATACCCTGAGTTTACATGTCAAGAAGGGACTTAGCACCTGGCCAGTGTGGCTTAGAGGTGGGATAGCGTCGACCTATGAATCAAGAGGTCACAGTTCGATTCCAGGCAGGGCACATGCCCAGGTTGCGGGCTTGAACCCAAGTAGGGGGCATGATGTTTCTCTCTCTCCTTTGTATGTATATATACTCGAGGCCCGGTGCATGGAATTTGTGCATGGGTGGGGTCCCTAGGACCGGATGGCAATCAGGGCCGATCAGGACCAGGCTGTATGGGGCCCAAAGGTCCGGTGGGGTTAGGAGTCACCGGGCCAGGTATGGGAGGAATGGACACCCCATCATCAGCGCCCCACCACCATGCGGTTCCCCACCTCTCCCCCTCCTCCTTCCCTTGCTGCTGCGCTGCCACCATGGTAGGTGGGTGGTGTACCAATCCGGGCCTGCTGGCCAGGGAAGTTGGCTGTGGGAGGACACTGACCACTAGGGGGCAGCTCCTGCATTGAGTGTCTGCCCCCTGGTGATCAGTATATGTCATAGAGACCAGTTGTTCTGGTCGTAATGGTTGTGTGTGTGTGTGTGTGTGTGTGTGTGTGTGTGTATATATATATATATATATATATGTATATAATTTTAATTTTAATTTTATTTTTTTAATTAATTAATTAAAAATTTTTAAAAAGGGACTTAGCAAGGACACTCGTGGAAGGCTCACTTTAGTTTCAGGAGTGTCAGGGGCAACTTTACAGGACGACATGAAATCAGGTCCAGCCTTGTGCCTCCTCCAATGGCCACTGGACAACCAGCTCTGCAGGAGCCATTGGGCTGCTCGCTGGGCCAGCCTCAGGGCCAGCCAGGCATGGCCTTCCCTCCAGGAATGTGCTAGAACTCTGGGGAATTTTTTTTTTCTTCCTCCTAATTTTAAATATTACTACAAAGTGTAACTTGCTTTTGTAATTAAAACAGTCAAATTTTTTCAAGGTCTTGTGGCAACCTTTTAAAAGGTAAACCATGTTTAATTTGCTTTGATGATCTTATAACACTGCTAGACTATCTGGAGAGCCTCAGAAGTAGAACTCATTATTTTAAGTCATATTTATTTAAGTAAATATTTATTCTCAAGAACGTTGAGATGGGCAGTGGCCAAGTTTTTCAGGAAGGGCTGGGCCCAGCTGGGAGGGCAGAGCCACAGGCCTGTCTCTGTGTCACCTGCTGTGAGCACCCTTAGTCGTCCCACTGACCACCTCCAACCCTGTCCTGTCATCAATGACGCCCACCTCCTCCCTTCCTCCTGCCCTTGCTGCACCCCACGCCCCTCTGACTCCTGACTGGTATGATCTGTCACAGATAGAACATCTAAACTCATCCAGATGAGGGCAGAGGGCTCCTGCTTTGATTCCCTGCTGGGGTGTGGACAGATAGAATTCCCTAGAATACCTGCCCAGCCTGTGTGGCTCAATGGTTGAGCATTAACCTATGAACCAGGAACTCATGGTTTGATTCCTGGCCAGGACACCTGCTTGGGTTGCAGGCTTGGTCCCCAGGATGGGGTGTGCAGGAGGCAGCCAATCAATGATTCTCTTTTATCCCTGATGTTTCTATCTCTCTCCCTCTCCCTTCCTCTCTGAAATCAATAAAAAAGGATTTTTTTTTTTTTTTAAAGAAGCAACTCTTGAAACTTAAGGAAAACTGCATGGATGCTGGAATTTCAGAGAAGATAGAAGAGAGACCTTACATGTCAGCACTGACCCTGATGTCAGACAGGATACAGGTCTGCTATGCCCCCCATCCCGATTCCCCTCCTGCCATCTTCTCTCCTGGTGGAGGGAGGGAGGGACCTACGACATGAACATGCTGTCCAGCTCATCAGGGCAACCCCACGCATGGTGAACCATGGACCCAGACCTTACCTGAGTTACCACGTAGAATCCAAAACTGTGGATATTGTAGAAATACCCTAAGCCAAACAGGGCAGTAAAGATGCCGCTGGCCAGCATTCCGAAGGTTAGGTAATACCGAATTGGCAGGCGCTCCCCTATTATGCCGCTGAGGGGAAGAAAAGAGAGACAAGCATGAGAAAACAAACACACCCACAGTGCAAATGGCCCAGCAACCTCCTTCCGGATGCTCCCCGGCTGTTCTCGGAGCTGTTAGAACTCCAGAGCACAGCTGCTTCCAAGAAGTTTTAATCACAATGACCTCCCCGTGGGGCGCTTATTGGCCAGAAACTGGTCATGGAAACATCCTTTAAGACTCTTTATTCCTAGTGAGAGTCACTAACTGTCAAATAATAAACATCAAACACCATGGCTTACACTCAGGATGGCAGCCATTTATAAAAAACAACCCAAGCGTATCTGGCTAGTTAATTCTGCTTTTATATAAACAACATCCAGTTAAAATTTCAACTGTCAAACTGCAGGCAAACACCATAAAAAGGAATGACCGTGAGCAAGCCTCTCGGACTGGAGCTGCTGTTAAGTCACGGAAGAGGCAGTTGGAAGGGACACCATTCCATGTTCACCCGCCTCTAGAGGCCACGCTCACCTGCTGACACCCGCCAGGCTGGAGCTGGCCAGGAAGGCCCCTGCCAATCTACCTGTGTCTGCTGTGCCACACAGTCCGCGTGCCGAGGTGGCACAGAGAGGCCGAGCCAGGGGGAGGGGCACTCCCCGCTGCAGTGACTCTGGTGGTCAGACTCTCGGGGTCACACTCATTGGCCAGCGGCCGGGGAAAGGGTCTCGGCCGGTAACTAAGCAACAACGGAAGCACTGCATTTAAACCAGGTTTCTTCACCTCGGCACGCTGCCACCCGGGGCTGGGCGATCTTCGTGGTGAGGGCTGTGCCGTGTGAGCAGCACGCTGGCCTCTGGAGCACCTTTCTCCAGCCCTGACAGCCATCTTTAAGAAATATGTCCCCAGATGCTGCTCTGTGTTTCCTAAGGGACAAAATCACTCCCGGCTGAGAGGAATTTAGGTGCTGTTTTCTAGTCACTGAGAGAAGCATACTCCAGCGTTGGGTCTTTTATTTTATAGGTTGTTGGTGTCCAGTGAGAGCGGTCTTTATTATTAACATTAGTTTATAGTAAACTATTATAATATTAGTTTATAGTAAACATTATTAACATTAGCTTATAGTAAACTATAATATTAGCTTATAGTAAACTATTATAATAAATATTAGTTTATAGTAAACTATTATAATAAATATTAGTTTATAGTAAACTATTATAATATTAGCTAATAGTAAACTATTATAACAGTAAACATTATAACATTAGCCTATAGTAAACTATTATAACATTAGTTAATAGTAAACTATTATGATATTAATTTATAGTAAACTATTCTAACAGTAAACATTATTCCTCAGACGGAACAGGCTGGCAGCCTGGGTGCCGGCCGGCCCGAGGAGCTGGAGGCGCACACATCCTCCTGTTCCGTGTGCCACTCGCTCGGGCTTCCCTGTCCGCTGCTGCCCACACCTGCCAGGCCAATATGCAAACACAGGAAAGGAATCCACCCTCTACCAGAGGGAGCTGCCTGGCTGCCACCGCCCACCCACCAGGTCCTGGTGATGCCACATCTGGTGGGCGTCAGGGAAGAGGCTCACCATTGACAGAATCCCTGAGAGTCTCGAGTCTCTAAAGATCCCAGACTCCGGACAAAAGCCTTTGGGGCTAAGGCCTTTCTTTCTATTATGCGCATTTCCCCCAACCCGGCTGGACTGACACAATTCCAGTATTTTTATTTTATTTTATTTTATTTACAAAAAGGAAGGGAGAGGGATAGAGAGCTAGAAACATCGATGAGAGCGAAACATTGATCAGCTGCCTCCTGCACACATCCCACTGGGGATGTGCCCACAACCTAGGTACATGCCCTTGACAGGAATCGAACCTGGGACACTTGAGTCGCAAGCTGATGCTCTATCCACTTTGCTAAATTGGTTAGGGCTATAATTCCAGTATGTAACCCGCCCCCAACATGTCCTGTTCCTCATCTGACTCGTACCACCTTCCTAGTCAGTTCAAGAATGGGATCAAGGAGAACCCAGGGTAGAAGTCACGTGTGCCGGCCCCGTGCAAGTGCCGGGGTGAGAACTACCATGTCCCCCGTTGTGCAGAGCAGACGGTGGAGCTGGGCTGCAGATCCCGGCCACCACGCCGCAAGGCCCTGCGCTTAGAGGAGGAGCCTGTGCGTGCCCAGCAGGGTGCCCAGGTGGACCGGGCAGCTCACACTTGGCAAACCGTGGACTGAGTAATGTGGATACGGAAGCAGAGTGAGGATGCGCTGCGCATCGCGAGGAGCCCCCAGTCTCGCTCCTAAGTGACACCTCTGGGCAGGGCTCGCGTGTCCAGAACCCGAGGGCCAGGAAGGCATCGTGGAGAGTCCGCCCTGCCCGGTGGAGCGCACCGGCTCTCACTCTGCCCTGGTCTCTGAGAAGAGACGGACAGGTAAGGGGCCTGCACGCAGGCGGGGCCTGGTGTCACGCATACTATCTTCGTCATCGCACACACCTGAGAAGGTTCTGCACGGAATGGTGTAAGGCAGTGGTCGGCAAACTCATTAGTCAACAGAGCCAAATATCAACAGTACAATGATAGAAATTTCTTTCGAGAGCCAAACTTTTTAAACTTAAACTTCTTCTAACGCCACTTCTTCAACATAGACTCACCCAGGCCGTGTTATTTTGTGGAAGAGCCACACTCAGGGGCCCAAAGAGCCGCATGTGGCTCGTGAGCTGTGGTTTGCCGACCCCTGGTGTAGGGGGCCAGGGTCTCGCGAGCTCAGTGGACCTACCTCAGGTACATGCCGATGGCGTACGCGCACAGGAAGGAGTAGTCCAGGGCCCCGAGCAGCTGCTGGTAGTTGTCCCGGTCTGCACGGTGAAGAGCGGAGGCGGAGGTGAGCGGTGCTTACTGTCACCGAACGTCATGCGCGCTCCCCAGCGGGGCTACCGCACACAGACCTCTGCTCTCCGAGGAGGATGGAGAAGGGTGTGTGTGCTGTGGGCTGCTTGGCAAACAGAAACACAGCCACCACATTCCACACAGCCACTCGGCAGCCACTGTCTGTGTGGACAAACCCTCCTGGCTCAGGGTGAGCATCGATCTCTTCTTTTCCTCCGGCACCCGCCTCGGCCGGCCCCGCCCCAGGCCTCGGCGGTCTCTCCCTTCCACCCACAGTCTGTGCTCTGCACGCCTGACCTTCCCACTCTGACAAGATGGACATGCACACCGAGGTCAGCAGATTTCCCCACTAAGAGCATCTTTGTCCGGTGGTCACACTTCTGCACACAGGCCCCGTGACAGGGCAGCGGCTGGGAGAGTGGGACCGTGGAAGGTCAGCTCTCTGGACACAGTTACCCTCGAGGACACGGCACTGCCGCTCAATCCGCAAGGCTGGAGGGGCCGGAGGAGTGGGCCACGCCGGCGTACCCCAGTGCCCGCCATGGAAGAACCCTCCCTGAGGGGACAGCCCACCTCAGACCTGCAGCAACAGAGAACTCACCGAACGGGGCCCAGCTGCAGTCTGTCTCATTGTCCAGGAGCTGGTGCGCAGGGCGGGCGTTGGCTTTCTGGCTCTGGCTGTTGAATCTGACGTCAGCCTCGTTCTCAGCAGCGCAGTACTTGTGGAGCTCACTCTAGGACATCCCCGGGGGGCAGAGGCCAGAGAGAAAGGGCACTCAGCTGGGGTGCAGGGTCAGAACAGCGCCCCCTCTTACCAGCCTTCCTAGGGCTTCTGGCTGGGGCCCACAGAATGCGGGCGGGTCCGGTTTCCCGGGCTCTCCCACAGCCCCCACTCCTGAGCACACAGAGCAAACACAGCATGTCCAGGGCACCAAAGAGGACTGCTCAGAGCAGCTGTGCAGCTGAATGCTGACTGCCTGCATCCTCAGGCCATCTGCCCATCCTCCTTGGACCACTGCCCAGAATGGACCATGGGTTCATCTTGCTAGATCTGTATGGCTGGGCTAAACGCTGCGGTGATGCAAGAGAAGAGGACCAGGTCCATGCAATGGCGAGGATGCCTCCCACAAACATAAGCCTGACAGAGAGGGGCTCCAATGGTAGAACTCTATTTCCATTTATGATGTTCAAGGGCAGGAAAATGACTCCATGGTGACCTTGATTACCATGGCCGGGCGCAAGGAGCCTTCTGGGCCAGACCTCGGCCAGGTGATGACTTTCTGGGTGAGCACGGTACATGGGACTCATTTACTCTGTGCTCATGTGGCTGTGTCATCATCATCAGGGCACTGCCCTAAAAATCTAGCCAAGGATTCTGCTTTACAAATTCACTATCTGCCAAATAGCCTTCCTCAGCAGACCACAGTCAGGGAGTGGAGGAAAGGCTGCAGAGAGCAACAGAATTACAGCTGGGTCAGTGTCACGTCAACGATGAGAAAGTGAGGGAGGGGCAGTGGAGCTGTAAGGAGCTGTCTTTGGCAAAGGACAATTTCCTTGTTCCTCTTACAAGAGTCAAAGGCCACTCAAGCCTGTTGACAATCTATAGGCAAAATGATGGAAATCCAACAAGGGTCAGAAAAGTACCTTGCTTCTCCCCAGGTTATGACTGGCTATTATGTGGGCTATAACATCTTCTTTACTCAAAGTCAAGTTTAACTGGCTGTTATGTAGGCTATTATCTACTCAAGTCTTCTTTACTCAAAGTCTAGTTAAATGCTGGTTTAACAGCTTCCTGCCTGCCCATCATGCGAGCAGGAACTCGGCGTTCTAATAATAACAAATAACCACCACCGCAGCCCAACTCAGGCTCAAAACGTGATGATCGTAGAAGCGAGTAGGGAACAATTTAGGATGGGATGTTTTGGAGAGAAAATTCACAGAAGAATAAATATTGAACTAAGCTTTAGGATTCTGAAACTATCAACCAATATTACTGAGAGTATACTACCTTCGAAAATATAACTCCTAAAACATTTTAAATTCAGAAAAGAGAAACTTAAAAGTAAAGCTGCAAAATACCTTGCTTCTACACAATCCATTTTCCCCATTTACCCCTCCCCCCCATCTCCCGATAGTTTTCTCTTAAAGTGACTAGTTCCTTATAGAGATTACAGGCAGGATAGGAAACTAAGTGTTTTATGATTTCTTACCTTAACTATGCTGATAGGCTTCCGAGATAAGTGGAAACTCGCATACAGCAAAAATGTCAAAATGAAAATGAAGGTTCGATACCTGAAACACAAAACAGTGTAGGATATGATGCCCAATAACATGAGCTGCATGAGGAATACGTGGCCACTGTAACTCTTAAATTGTCTTATGCTGCATATTATTCATTCAGCCATTATCAAGTATCAATCCTATTGATCATCCTATATAATAAAAGGCTAATATGCAGATTGACCCTAATGGAGGAACAACCTGTTGCTATGACGCACACTGACCACCAGGGGGAAGACATCAATGCAGGAGTTGCCCCCTGGTGGTCAGTGTGTTTCCACCCAGGGAACGCTGCTCAACCAGAAGCCAGGCTCATGGCTGGTGAGTGTAGCAGCGGCGGTGGGAACCTCTTCCACCTCTGTGCCAATGCTAAGGATTTCTCCCCGGAGAAAGCAGGCCTAAGCCATCAGTCAGACATCCCCCAAGGACTCCCAGACTGTGAGAGGATGCAGGCCGGGCTGACCCCTCCTCCCCGCCTGAGTGCATGAATTTCATGCAACCGACCTCTAGTATTATTATTTAATATTATATTTTAAAAGTGAGACTTCTGCTCGGTCCAAATTGAATCCATTTAAACATTAATTAAAAAAATCACCCCACTATAAATGCCCTAGCTGGTTTTGCTCAGTGGATAGAGCATTGGCCTGCAGACCAAAAAGTGCTGGTTTCGATTCTGGTCAAGAGCACGTATGGTGGTTGCAGGCTCCGCCCCAGCCCAAACCCTGATCGGGGCATGTGAAGGAGGCAATGTGTTTTTCTCCCATTGATGTTTCTCTGTCTTTCCCTCTCTCTTCTACTCTCTTTAAAAGATCAATGGAAAAATATCCTTGTGAGGATTAACAACACCAACAAAAAACCCCCCCAAAAAACAATACTATAATCAAAGAGAAATCTGGGACTCATAAGATGAACATGTTTACTTGCTGACAGAAAGGAACGATTTTGTAGTCTGAAACAAAATTAACTACAAGCTTCTTGTAAGCTGCTATCCTGGGCACTGACAATCATATTTTTTACTTTTTAGCTTCTAAGCAACTTTTCCGAAGGACACAAGCAAGGCAGAGACACAAATATCTCCCTGACCTCAATGAGAAAAACCGAGTGATGCTGACAAGCTATGAATAAGGCAATGCATAAAAATACTGGCCAAAGCCCTGCTGCTCTTTCTGGTTTATGAGAAAAGCAGTCATGCAGGGAGGAGGAAGGGGGGGGGGGAAGGGGAGTGCTGAAATACATGGGCGTCTAAAGAAAAGAAGGTACTTTAAGAAGATAGAAGTTCATTCCAGTCTGAAAATTTGAACCATGCTATTATGGAAAAACATTTCTTAAGGGGGAAAGATACATCAGGAGGAAGAAGTATCTGGCAAGAGATGATGACAGGAGCTCCCCCCAGGAGGGCAGGTCCCTCTGTGTCCTGAGACCCAGCCCCTCACCCTGAAGAACCCATCCTCCTTCTGGCCTGGAAAGGCAGGTGACTTTCAAGCTGAGTGATGGCTCGGATTGATAATTGCCCAGGACAAAGGAGGCAGAGATAGGAAAGAGGTGGGAGGGAGGAGGGCTCAGCCCACAGAGAAGCCATGGCCACTGGCCCTGGGTGGTACTGGGACCCTCCCCCAGGCTCTGTCCACAGCTGTGATTGACACCTCAAGGGCAGCTTTCCTCCAATAACACAAAGATCCTAGGAATCCTGCCTCTTTGGCCAGTAGGGGACAAATAAAGTTTTCTGGATTTTTAAAAAAAGGGTCACATTTCAGGTGGGGAAACAGGTTGGTGGGACCATGGGACTAGAACCTTTAACTTCCAGGACACCTGTGCTTAGGGAGAGAAAAGCACTCAGCAACTACCGTATTTTCCGGTGTATAAGACGCCCCCCCTCCCTAATTTTACAGTTAAAACATAGGTTTAGGCCTATATTCGCTGTATAAGACTACCCCCCACTTCAAAGAAAAGACTTACTTTGCCATCAAGATCTGCAGGTAATTTTTGTGCAATTTTGGTCTTTTGCCCCCGATTTTCGGTTGACTTTTTTTCATTTCAAAAGTCGTCTTATACGCCGGAAAATACGTACTCCAAAAATGACTAACGAAATGCCCCCATGTGCTCCTCGTCATCAAGGCAACACACACTGAGGCTTTTCCTAGGATTCACTCTCCAAGCTCATGCCAAGGACCAGAAAGAAAAAAAAAGTAAAATAATAAAAAATGAGTGCATGTTTTACCCCAACGGACAAAGACTACGCAGGTACAGTGAGGTTGTCCCAAAGTCCAGCCTTGTGTTTCTGAAAACCATCTGTTTGGATCAGGAATGACATTCTCTCAGTTCTTTGCCCGAAGCTCTGTTATCCCACCTAGCTCTAGGCTCCTATGTGCCTTAAGTTGCCAGCAAAGGAAGATTCTAGGCCACTGGAACTCTGTAAGCCCTCAATACCCAAATGTCCAGCCCACAGGCAGGTTCGCTGGCCACTTATGTCCACACTCTAAGTAAATGACAATGGTGAGTGCAGCCTATGGGGAACCCTGACCCGTCCCCATTTGGGTACAGGGGTCCCTTTGACAGTCTCCCCGGGAGTATTTTGGAAAAGTCCTCAGAATGCGTTACCTCCCACATCTGAGTCTGAAGAAAGAATCTGGTGACTGGTGCGCTACCTGCCAGGAGAATCTGAAGTTCCTAACCACGCAGCCAGGAAGGACCGGGAGAAAGCAGCTCTACTTAAATGGGCCTTGGGTTCATGCTCTCTACCCACACACAGAGTCTTCTATTTATAAATGTTCTACTTTTATTAAACATATTCCCATATTTATAAAATAGAACAAATAACCCAGAACTGAAGAGCTCCTCCATATGTTCAGACAAAGTCTAAAGAGTCCTAGGACCCGAACATACCTGCATCCTCAGGTAGTCAAGATGTCTAGGGTATGGGAACCTCTGGCAATCCTTGGGCCATTGCCCCCTTCCCTGAGCCTCCGCTTCCATCCCTGGCCCCTGCCCCTTCTCTAACTGGGCCTGGCAGCACAAAGGTGGTTCCAGGACTGGGCCTCATTGGGGAATGCCGGGCAGAGCGATGCCCAGGGCCGCTCTAGGAACACGTGGCCACAGAGGAGAGCAGCATCCGTTTCCAGCTGAACTGAGTTTTCAGCTCGGTTTTGGGTGGGAGGGAAATACCTTGGTGACCCAGCCAGCAGGCTGCCAGGTTCCTTCTGAGAACTTTATTTCTGTGGGATCATCATGGGTTATGGGGCTGAAGTTCTGACCCTCCTCAGTCCTTTGCCACTTTGTGGTTCTACCTTCATTGTCTTTCTTCCTTTCTCATTCACCATGCAAAGATTCTGGGTGATGTTTGTTTCTCTCTTATCCTTCTCGTACCGAGTGGCACACTGCCCCCCCAAATTCATGCCCACCTAAAAGTCTCAGAACGTGACTTTGTTTGGACATAGTTTCGCAGATATAATTAGTTAAGCTGAGGTCCTACTTAACTCATGGATGACCTCAAATCCAATGGGATCCTAAGTCCAGTAACTGACATCCTTCTAAAAGCCAAGCGAAGACACAGAGACAGACAGGGAGGAAGACCCTGGGACAATAGAGGCACAGGAGTGCAGAAGACTGCCAGCCACCGCCAGAAGCTGGAGGAGGCGGAAAGGACTCCTCCCCAGAGCCTGCCGTGGGCCCTCTGACACCTTGACCTCACACTTGTGGCCTCCAGAACCGTGAGACTATGTGTCTGTTGTTTGAATCCACCAGTGAATGGTACTTTGTTACAGCAGCCCTAGGACACGAATACAGTCCTCCGCTTTTGTGTTTTGTGTTACAGTTAGGCTTGTGAATATTAAAAAAACACAATTAAAAATGATTGATTGAATCCTTCATTCATCAGTGTCCCACTTACTTTGTGCAGTTATGCCTGACTCTAGCATTCTCAGCATCTACTGAGACTGCAGGGGGAGTGTCTGGGTTAATCCCAAGTTTCTAGCAAAAAAGCCCATCCTGACGAGGATGGCACAGGACAGGTGCACCTTCGAAGCTTCCTTAGAAATGCTCCCAGCTGTGAGCAGCCCGCCCCACGGTAAGACTCAATGCAGAATGTGCTTCCTCCTTTGAGTGTTATTTATCTCAATCATATGCAAATAAGGAACACACAAATGCTTTAGATGAGAGTCACTGAACAGGCTGACTTGGCACCGAAATTAGCCCAAAGACACCCTTAACTTGGAAACAATGAAACCACACAGCTGAGTCCTCTCCACAGCACCCCAGGGAGGCACGTGACTTTGGTGATGTCTGCTCTGATCACTTGGTTAAGGGGCTGCCTGCCAGACCCCCTTAGGGAAGCTGTAACCTTTCCCTCTATGTAACTAGTAAGGGATCTGTGGGAACACACTTGGAGATTAAGTAAATAAGCTCTTCCTCCAACTTTCCCCCAAGACAGTGTGTCCCTTAGTAATCCTCACCTAAACTAAGCTTGGCTAATGTCTGTAACCTGGACAACAGATTGGTTGTCCAGGTTACAGACACGCCTGCCTCCTTAGGAGCTGCCCATCTGCCGTGGGGGAAGGGCTTTCCTTTCTCCCGTTTACCCACTTATTGAATTATAGCCGCGTGGACTCACTGGATTCCAATTGTATTCAATGGGCTATCATCCATTATTAATATCCTTTATTTTAAATATCAAATCATCTCAGACATGGCAGTGAAAACCCCTCTGTTTTTAAGCACACCCTTATTTTCGGGCGCAGACATATTCCTGGCTCCTCTTACTTCCTCTGCCCCAGTGCTGACACAGCCCAGTCTCCAAAGATGCCCAGCTCCTTCCGTGGGAAAAAGCACATACCCTGTTTCCCTGAAAATAAAACAGTGTCTTATATTAATTTTTTCTCCCAAAGTTGGGCCAAGTCTTATTTTCAGGGGATGTCTTATCTTTCCATGCGCTAGGTCTTATTTTCGGAGGATGTCTTATTTTCGGGGAAATACAGTAGACACCAAGATCTGGCACCAGGCGTGCTCAGTGCTATGATGTTCCCAGAGCCTCTTGGTGGGCAGGGATAGGACATTTTACACACACACACACACACACACACACACACTCATGCAACACATATACACATACCACGTACACACACACACACAGGCATATATATCTAGTTCTCCCCTGCTTTCTCATCAAATCCTCTTAATTTCTTTAATTGCTATCCAATACCACATGGTTCATTCAGTCCCTACTGCCCACCCCTCATCCATATTTTTAACTCGTTCACCATCAGTGAACAGCTGTTTCCCTTCTGTGCTATTCTTGACAAAATCTGAATCTAATCGGGAGAAAATACTAGATACAGCCCAAACAAAAGACAGCCTGTTAAAAAAAAAAAAAAAAAAGGCTTGTGCCCTTCGCAAATGTCAAGGTCATAAACGACAATGAAAGGCCAAGAAACAGTCCAGCTGAAAGAATTAAATCTACAGGACAGCTAAATGCAGCGTGCAGCCCTGGGCTGCATCCCGGGCCAGGAAGAAAGCTATAAAGACATTCTTGGACATCTGGCAGGATTGTGAATACGGACTTTGGATTAGATGCTAGAACTGTATCAGTGTTACATTTCCTGGTTTTGATCTCTGTGTGCAGTTATATGAGAATGTCTTGTTTATAGGAAATATGTGATGTATTTAGAAATAAAACAACATGTCTGCAACTTACTCTCAAATGTTCATAAGGCATTTTACACACACACACACACACACACACACACACACACACACAGAAGCAAAAAACAACAGTGCTTCGGATTGGTTTGCAGGGGGAACCCAGGCCTCAAAGCTGCCCTAGTTCACTGTACTCGAGATTCAAAGCCCAAGGAGAGACTTGTAGTCCCTCTCCCTTTTTCCCCACCCCCAATTCCTCCCTGCCTCCTGCTGCACCTGTGCTGTTTGAGGAAGGTCCTGGGAACGGGCCTCCAGGGCCTCCACTGGTGGCCGTGAGATGGGAAGTCCTGAGCCTCACCTGCCTATCCCAACTGCACACACAGGACGGACGTAGATCCCTAACGGAAGGTGATGCTAGAAAGGGGCTGGTGTGCTGGGTAGAGACACATAAAAAACATCCTTCGTAGGAATGTTAAAGCCAGTGTCTTTAGGGTTGCTAAATCTCAGCTAAAAAATAACTTTTCAAGGTCAAGGAGCAAGTTGGAGGCAGAGATGGAGAGAACTGAGACAAATACTCTGCACCCTTGCTACCCGAAGTGTGGTCAATGGACTGATGGCACCATCCCTGGGAGGTGCAGACTCTCAGGCCCACCCCGGACCTCTGCGGCAGAATCTGCATTTTAACAAGTTCTCGGGGGATTCACATGCTCACTAAAGCTCTGTCTCTGTAGCACTCACCAGTAAAAAAAAAAAAAAAAAGAATCTGTGACACACAGGAGTTTTTTGTAACATTCTTTTAGTTTCCATCTGTGAGCTTGAAAATTATATTAAAATATAGTTATAAAACCAAGAAGCTAAAGATAAACTCCCCCCAAATAAAAGGTCAGTGTTGAAACTCTTGTGGCGAGATTCGCAGCAGGCGTGAAATGAGAAATGCGGGGACTGCTCTGGGAAGAAGAGAAGCCTGAGGTCCAACCTGCCACCCAGCAGAGGCCTGAGAAGATGCAAAGGGTGGGGAGGCACAGGTGGGTTGTCGCGATAAGATGAAGGGGTTCAGAATACGCCACCATGGCAAACAATTACTTTGAGGGGAAAGCATTTGAGTTCCTGGAATCTCTTATCTGTCCAAAAGCAGAGCCCCCTGAAAGAACGCAACTCTCCTAAGACCCTCCCCGGGAGGAAATAGGGGAGACCGACTGACTCATTATTGAACATGAGAAGTTCCGCCTCACACCCACAGACACCACCAACACTTCACACTCCCGTCTGCTCTCCTGAGGCCCACTGACACTTAAGAGCCATCTGCTTTCCCGTCACACCCTGTCCTCCTCTTCTCCCCCGTTACGGTGGCGTATTAGCCCCAAATTCTCATCTCTCTCTGAGTCACATTTCTCTGTAAACTCCTGTATGTATGTGATGAGGTCTCTTTTCTCCTGTTTATCTTTTGGTGAGATTTGTTTGCATGCTCCCGCTTACTGGACCCAGGAGGGTAGAGGAACACTTTTCCTTCCCAACTGAGATGAGGCGGGGAGACACCACGGAGACCGGGTCAGAGGCCAGAGAGCCCGGCTCCAGGCTCTGCCCTCACCATCGGCTTCCTCCACGGAGCACGGAACTCAGGGCCACTCTCGCCCTCCCCGGAAAAGGATTCTCAGGGCACACTCCCGCAGGGGGTCTCGGAAGGGAAAGTTGCGTTCTGGTCAGCATTTAACTTGCTTACATTTCAGCTCTGCCCCAGGGAGGCCACTCGGGGAGCTCCGAGTTCATAGACGGCTTTCACTCACAGGCACGTTATAACCTGCCAGTGGCCAGCGGTCATTGTCCTGTGGGAGCCGTGATTGTTACAGAAACCACTGAAGACCACATGCTACCTGTCAGCGTCAGAGCCAAAGACGGAGGACCATGCTCACGGCTTCCGCCGCGCTAAGTGATTCCATGGTTACAGGGGGGCCAGCATCCGCGTGCATTTTATCATGAAACCGGGCAGAGCCGGCTGCACGGTGGCCCTCTCCCACGCTCGGGGCCATGCCGAGGGCCAGAGCTGCCAGGACTTACCACTGGTCCCGGGAGAATGAGATGATGAAGCGAATGCCGGCAGGGAGGCGAGCCATTTACGCGTGGACCACAGCGTTTTGGCCACGAAACCAGACACTTCATACAGAGGTTGGCGATCCTGGCTCCCGGTCTCCCTCTTGTCCCTGCACTGGCACCGGCTGGAAAGGAAGTGAGGTGTCCTGCTTGGTCTTGTGCCCCCTCCTCCTCTCCGCAGAGGCTTGGTCTCTACAATGAGAAAGAGGGGTGGAAAAGTCAGGGGTGCTGACAATGGCGGTGTGGAGTCCGGGCAGGAGAAACGCCCTGTACAGTTGTGAGCCAGCCCAGATCAAAGCTGGCCTTCCTGGATGATGGGAATGCCCACCAGGGCCACTAGGTGGCAGCACAATGTCTGCCCGGGGAGGGGGCGGGGCTTGTTCAGAGATCACTGAACTGGATTTCACATGATGTTCTGATGATATAAAAAGAACCACTGAGTTCATCTCTGTCTGGAAGGCATCTGGACATCAACCCATTCAACCTCAATCACAATGCTTAACATGCACATGACGCCCCCATATGTGCCCAGCGGTTACACCGTGTGCTCGGTTACCAGAGGCGGCCAGGGAACCGGACGTGTTGCATTCCACCCACACCGAACCAGGCCACAGCTGAGCCACAATAACAGAGGGGAATGTGGGCTGGGACCAGATGGCAGGTCATCAAACCAATCATTTAATTGTGGCTTTGCAACTGAACCAAAATGCATCTAAAGCTGAGGGAATGAACTTTACCTCTTAGTGGCTTCTCCACTACTCCTGAGGCCGCCTCCGAGCCCATGGGAAATGACCCCATTCGGAAGGCAGAGGAATGGGCAGGGTTACCCCCAAACCTAAAAGGGGCCCAGCACACCAGGCAGGTCTCCCGTCCCAAAGCCATGACTTGTTGTAGTCTTCATTCTTCTACACTTGGCAACAAAGAGCCTTTGGACCAATGTGTTAAGTAACACAATTCCCAGTGCATCCAGAGCATGGGCTGTCCTTACACTCAGTGAAAAATCACAGGTTATTAACTTTTAAAAAGAAAGCTACTTTTGAGTAAACGCTAGTCTTGATTTAAAGAAGCTGATAGTTACTTAATGTCTTCAAAAAATTTCCTTGGGATAACAGACAAATAATAGCAAACAGTCCAGATTTGGAGGACTTACACTTAGATTTGTAAGTGCCTGTCCTACCATTCGACCCACGTTCATTCCTGCCATCTACTAAACTAGTGGTCGGCAAACTCATTTAGTCAACAGAGCCAAATATCAACAGGACAACGATTGAAATTTCTTTGGAGAGCCACATTTTTTAAACTTAAACTTCTCTAGCGCCACTTCTTCAACATAGTCTCGCCCAGGCCATGGTATTTTTGTGGAAGAGCCACACTCAAGGGGCCAAAGAGCCGCATGTGGCTCTTGAACCGCCGTTTACCGACCACGGTACAAAAATCCATCAACCAACCTGGACTCAATTCTGGTCAAGCCTGTGACACAGGAACCACCCAGAAGGCACTGGAGAAGCAATGGCCAGAAAAGCTCCCTTGCCTTTAAAATCCTGCGGCTCTTCCTCCTGGGAGCCAGGAAAGAGCAAGTGCTACAGCCTTCACAGGAAGTGCAAATGGGACACGTGGCGGCGGTGAGTTTCCATGTGGGATGTTAAGAGCTCAGTGTCATTCGGGCCAGGGGTCGATGGGGAGACATATGTACTTCTCTAAATATATATATATATATATATATTTTTTTTTGTAAAGAGCTCAGTGTCATGAGTGCTCTTCCTCCAAAGCGCGAGCAGGGCCCTCAGAAAATTGCTCCACTGAGCGCTGGCGGGGACAGGCCGCCTCCTTAGTGTGCCCACGGCATTGCGGCCATTCCCGGGAAGAGGCAGCCGGCTCTCTCCAGAGGAACAATGAGGCCGCTGCTGGACTAAGTGCGGCCAAATCTGGTCTGTCCAGTTTCCCTCAGTCCCTCCCTGCTCCACCTCACTTCCTGCGGCCCAGCCCCTCAAGGAGAGGGCAGTGGAACGGGAAACCGTTGGGCTTGACCTGTTTTGGCACACAGCCCGAGCACAGAAGAGGACTTTAAAAAATGGCTCTTACTAGGAGCCGGGGACCTCGCCACCACAACAGGGAAAAGTGTCGGAGTATCCATTCCATTCGGTTGTCAAAGGGAGCAGCTTGGGAAACACCCCATCAGATATCTTTATGAAAATGCAAAACGCACATCTTCCCCAACAGCCATTAGGAATGGCCGGAGGGAAGGCAGCATTCTGGGGCCCCACCCACAGGCTCCCCCTCAGTGATCCGTGCAGCCCAGAACCGAGCCCTGTGCTCTCTGGAGAAGACAACAGTGAGATTCGCCCTAACCGGTTTGGCTCAGTGGATAGAGTGTCCGCCTATGAACTCAAGGGTCCCAGGTTCGATTCCGGTCTAGGGCATGTACCTGGGTTGCAGGTACATCCTCAGTGGGGGGGTGTGCAGGAGGCAGCTGATCGATGTTTCTAACTCTCTATCCCTCTCCCTTCCTCTCTGTAAAAACTCAATAAAATATATTTTAAAAAAATAAAATAAACTATTTAAAAGAGAAAGAAAAGAAAACAGTGAGACTCAAATGTAGAGGCCAGAGTAAGACAGAGGGATCTCCCCAGAGCTGAAGCGCTGCTGTGGGTACTCAAGCCAGCCCAGTGTTTTAAATAACCCATTAAAAACAAAGTTGCTAAAGTGGATCTTCTTTTAAGGCAAAGGTGGGTGAGAATTGCATGTCCCCCCAAAACGTGTTCTGAGAGAGAGGAACAACTTCTTTCCCAGAAAAACACTTTCTGTGGTTTGTGCTCAGAATGAACCATGAATGACAATGGCCCTAGCCCTTCTCCTGAGGCTTACATACAAAAGGGTGTCCCTCCTCCCCTCTGACAACAAGACCCGTGCGCAGAGCCCGGCTCAGAGCCCGGCCAGGGCAGGCCTGGCCCCTGTGGTGTGAGGAGCAGGGGCTGGAGCTGAGGCCAAGCTGGACCTCAGGGAGCTAAGGGGGAGAGCACTGGGGGTAATTCTTGGCTAGTTGCCCCGCAAACCACACACACAATTCAAATCCAAGGTCAGCCGAGCTCTCCCGGTGGTGAGCTCCCGCAGACTAGAAGAAAGACAGGCCCAGGATTCCCCCTTTAGCAGGCATCAGAGTCCTCCGTTCAAATGCAGATCCTCAGGGTCTGGGCCACCCGCTCGGCAGCTGGAGGCCGGGAGAAAGGAAAGGGGAGCCCGTGGCGGTGGCCGGCGGCTGGGCACTCTCTGGCGCCCTGCAAGCACAGCCGGTGCCAGCACGGCGCTGGCGGGGACACTCCCGGGCTCGGAACCAGCCGCTCAGCAGACAAACAACCAGAAGGCCCGGTGCTGCCGCGGAGCCTCCGGCGGCCGGTGGCGCAGGTGGACCCGGCGGGCACGCCCACGTCCCCGCGGCGCGGGGGACAGTGCGCGGGTCACCCCGGCCCGGCCCCGGCCCCCGGCGGCTATCGCGGCCGGGCCGGTGGGGAGGGACCCGGCGACAGCCGTGCCGTTCCTGCCGGGGACCGGCGCCCTCGCCTCCACTTGCCTGGGTGCCGCTCCGCAGCCCGGGAGGCGGCAGGGGCCGCCGCTCCTCGGGACCCTTATTCCAACGGCCCCGGAGGCCGGAGGGGAGCGCCGGGCCCGGCCGCGGCCCCGCACAAAGGCGGGCGGCGGGGAGCGGGGCGCAGGGACCGGGTCCCCCCGCGCGGCGCCCCCAGAGCGCGGGCAGCGGGCGCCCTGTCCCGGGCCTCCCCGCCGGCGCCCCGCGGCAGGTGCAGCGGCCGCGGCCCCGCAGGTGCCGGGGGGAGGAGGGCCCCGCGCCCATCGATCGATCGATCGCAGCCCGGCGCCCATGGATCATCGATTGACCGCAGCCCCCGCCTCACCTGCGCGCCGGCCCGCTCCCACCGGCCGGCTCCGGGCTTCCTGCTCGCGACTTCCTGGGGCGGCGCGGCCCGCGGCCTTTCGCTTTCCTGCGGCCGCGGGCGGCGGCGGCGGCGGCGGCTGGGCCCCTCCCCTTTCCTCCGGGCCCTGCCGGGTCCTCCCCAAGCCTCTGGGCAGCCCAGGATCCCAAACCGCCCTGGCCGGTGGTTGCCATCCCTCACCCCTCACTCCCCACCCGCCAGCACCCGCTAAAGAACTTGGGCATCCAATGTCCTTGCACCTGGCATTTCTCCACGGGCACCGGGAGCTCCCCAAAGGCCCTGCGTCCTGAAGGTGGGTCTTACCTAAGGGCAGCGGAGCCAGGACCTGAACAGAGGTCCGCCTTGGCCTCCCAGCCTGGACGCCTGCTGCCCCTTCTCAAGGGTCAGAGCCATGCAGCTGGCACTCTAAGGGAGCCTGGGCCAAGGCAGGCCGTGTTGAACCATCTTATTCACACCTGTACTGTGTGGCCCGCAGCTCACACGGTTATTCTGGACTCCTGCCTGGCCCCAGCCACTTGCACAGACACTCACCATTGCTGGGGCCTCAAGACAGTTCCCATGCCAACCCAGTGTCAGCCCAGGAACAACGTTCCAATTCCATTCTGCTTCTTGCCAGACATTGACCTTGGGCAGCCCCCAGAAGGACGGGATCATAGATGAGCATGGGGGTACCCACAGAGCACTCCCAGCACACACTGCATCCAACACAACCAGCTCCCAGCTCCCCGGAGAGCAGAGAGAGTCAGAAAGCACCTTGCAATGAAATTCCTGAAAGACTGCCCTAATTAAAACCATCCTCACAGCTAGAACCAATCCAAGGCCAGGCTGTAAGTGCCCCCAAAAGTCTGTATGAACAGTGTGCCCTGGACCTCGAGGCACACTGTCCTGCCCAGCACCCCTCAGGCAGGCGGCCTCCACCCTGCCAGGATGCCTCCTCCCTGCCAGGCCTTGTAGCCCCTCCCCCTTTCCAGAGCCCCTCCCCCCTTTCCAGAGCCCCTCCCCCTTTTCCAGAGCACCCCAATACCTTTTCCTGTCGGTTGAGTTGGGTCATGTCAAATGCACCCCTTCTTTATGCTTTTGGGAAGTGTCCATGCAGAAAGGAAACCTGTGGCCTCAAGGTACAGCAACAGGCTCCCCCCTCCCCCCTCCCTGCAAGGGAGCTGGCCAAGAGCCTCTGAACTTGTCTCTCTCTTTGGCAAGGACTCTTTCTGTGGAACTCCTCTCTCGGCCAATTCCTTCTCCTCTTCCCCCAACGCTCTATTCCTGGGGATGCCCAAACCAGCCCAGTCTGGCTTCCATCTGTCTCCCAGTTGCCTCTCTGGCTCCCACCACAGTCTTCTCGGGGCTCCTCCACTCTCCTGGAACCTGAGCATCAGCCCCTTGACTTCCAAGCTCTCCCTCAGGCAGCCACTTTCCCAGCTGCCTCCGACTGCTGTCCTAAAGCAGGTCAGATTCTGTCTTTCCTGGACACCCTTCAGGATCCCTGTCGCCTGCAGGAAGGAGACAGAATTCTTCAGTACCTGGGAAATGAGGTCTGAACTCATGCTTGCAGCTTCCAGAACCTTCTGAATGGCTCTGCGGTTTCCAAGACACGCACTGTCTCACGTGTTGGTGTTTCTGTCTTGGCCCTTCCCACCCCAGCCTTTCCTAGTGAGCACAAACTCTGGGGCAGGCCAGCATTCTCTGCTCTCTGCGGCCATCTTCCCTTCGCTGCATATCCGGGCACTGTAGACACCTCTGCATCCTGACTTTTATCACATGAGCCGGGACTAGTTCTTTCTACATCTGTCTTGTGGGTCAGAGAGATTCCCCAGATTGTGCACTGACTTGGAGGACACTCTTCCATGTTTGCAATCTGTCCGAATAAATGCATGTGACACAGTACAGGTCAGCCTGGTGTTTTTCACATTTTCTCACATAGAAAGTATTTGTATGACACGTTGGGCAAACCAGAGGGCACCTGGCGGGGAGGGTCCATATCATATTTACTAATTGAAAAGATGAATCTTTTAATTTTATAAAGATTAAGACATTAGTTATTTAGCAAATAGTGATCTTCTATAGGGTTATAAGAAATACTTAAACATGCATTAGAGGGTCCAGTGAGTTTGTGTAAAACGCCCACATACAAGTTCCCATTCTGACATGAAAACTTGTGATTGCTCCGATGGACTTTCAGCTTCATGCTGACATGGCTGCACACAAGCTCAGGACAGGGCAGGCAGGTGGGACAGCACTGCTGAGACACTTCCTGCAGGTAGCTCACTCTGAAGCCGTTATTTACAATCACACAACTTGTCCAACAGTTGGAATGATATTTAAAGAATCGAACAACTCTCCCTTTTCTTTCACTGATGTGTCATATTGAAATTTCCGGTGAGAATTGAGTGAACTTCCCATCGATTTGCATTTTTCAGATCCAGTATTTCAAAATCGTGACTGTGTGTGCCAGGCCAGTCTCGGGCTGCCCTCGAGCTGCTGTTGACACAGCTGTGGCCAGGGTTCCAGAGAGAGCAGCCCAGGTACCCAGACTCTGGGCTGCCAACTGAGCCCACTGCCTTGGCGGGACCCTGCCTTAACCCAAGGCGTCCATGCTTGCTTTGCATTTGTTTTGATTTGTTTTATGAGAGGAACACTGAAGGAGAGGTGCTGTCACTCTTGCTCAGCAAGTGCTAACTGGATGCCCAAGAAGGCCAGCCCTGTGCCAGCACCGATGCCTCAGGTCAACAAGGGGTCTTTGCCTTGGAAGAGTTCATAGAGCGGAAGCCAGGTGGCCAGACAGGGAAGCTGACATGAGGGTTAGGGGAAGGGTGTATGTATCGCCTAGGGCTGCCCTAACCAAGCACCTCACACTGGCCAGCCTGAAAGTGCTGGCAGGGCCAAGCTCCCTCCGAAGGCTCCACAATCTGCCCGCGCCTTTCTCTTAGCCTCTGGCGGTGCTGGCTCTCCTGGTGTTTCTTGGCTTGTAGCTGCATCACTCCAGTCCGTCTCTGCTGTCACATGGTGTCTTCTGTGTGTCTGCCTGTTCCTAGCATCTTCCTTGTGTCTGTGTCTGCCTCTCCTCTCCTGAGGACACCAAATAATATTGGATTTAGGGGCCACCCTCTTCCAGTATGGCTTCCACTGAACTAATTACACCTGCAACTACCCTAGTTCCAAATAAGGCCCCCTTCTGAGGTTCCAGGAAGGAAATGACATTTTTTTAGGGGTGTCACTATTTAACCCAGTGCTGGGCTGTTACATAAGGGGAAACGAGTGAAAATACATCCCCGGGCTAGCAACATCAGGAAGCTGTTAGCACCCTGAGCCTGAAGAGGGAGAGAGCTGAGGCTGCAGAGACAACTGCTGGACAAGAGGAGGGGGTTTGGGGAGGGGGTGCAGCCGCTGTCTACAGCCCAGCGGGGAAGGAGGGGGAACAAACAGCCCACTCTCCTTTCCTCTCGCCTCCCACCCACCAACCCAAGGCATGGAGGCAAGAGCCCCACCGATGCCCCTCCCCTCACATGCAGGCAGTAGACAGGTAACCAGCAATCCCAACACTGCTACACATCATAACACAGGACACATCATGAGGTGTAAGAGGGAGTCACCTCGCCCAGACTACATGGTCCCAGGAGGTCACATCTCAGCAGCAGAGGGGGAGCTGGCCAAGAGCACAACGCAAGCTGCAAGCTGGTTTGGGGAGCGGTGCTGGTGCAAATAATGTGGAGAGGGGAGGAGAGCTCCTGAGGCAATCCAGGCCTGAGATTATGGCTGCTGGGAGTAAAGACTCCAGAAAGGTCTAGAAGGTGAGAGGAAGGAGGCAAGGGAAAGGGATGACATCCTGATGTCTGGCTTGGGTGGCTAAGTGGGTGGCGGAGTCTTCTTGGAGAGAGGGAACATACAGAGGACACAGACTTAGGGTGAGGCTGGGCTGGGAATTTATTTGTACTCATTGAGCATTTGTTTCCTGGGGGAAGTTCTCAGTGGAGACGTTGAACAGAGTTGGGTTTGCGGGTCTGGAGTCTCTGGAAGAAGCCTAGGCTGGCAAGGGAGGCCTGGTAGTGACAGCAACCATCAGCATGAGCCTAGACTGACTCCCCAGGGGGGCTAATTTCAGAGCCCAGCAGGGAGGAGGGGCCAGGACCTTGGATGGAGTGTGGGAAGAGCCCAGAGAGTGTGATGTCTAAGAAGCACAAGGAAGGCAGTATTTCCAGAGTGAGAGCGAGTGGGAGGCTGCATATAGCCAGGTCTGCTGGCTTCACCCAGAAGGCCTTGGCTCACTCTTCCATGAAAGGGGGTGGGGTGGGCAGCAGACAGCTGTGGGGATTGAGTGGGCATGGAGGAGAAGAGGCAGGATGGGGAAGAAGAGACAGCATGGAGCAGACGACGTTTCGGGAAAGGAGGAGAGAGAAGGGCACAGGCTGGAGAGGGACTGGTGGAGGAGGAAGGATAGTTTAAATGTAGGGATGTTTGTGAGCATATACAGAGGCAGGGAGAACACTACAGTAAAAGCTCACAGACTCATTACATGACCAATGCATAGCCACCTTCTTTCCTTCCTGTTTCCACCCACTTCTTTCTCCCCAGGAATATCTTGCAGCCAATTCCAGACATCATATTTCACTTGTAAAGTTTCAATGTGCATCTCTAAAAGATATGGTTTTAAGTGTAACTGCAATACCATGATCAGGGCTCCCCCAACAAGAACAATTCCATAATGGGATCTGCTACCCAGCCCATGTTCTCACTTCCCTGACTGTCCTGGAAATGTCTGGCCCTCAGTTTTGTTTGTCTTTCAATGGGGATCCAAGCAGTCCACACGTGTATGGCTTGTGTCTCCTGAGTCTCTCCTCCATGGATTTCCACTGCACCCCTCTCTCTCTACCCCAGCAATGTGTTGCCCTCATTGTTATAGAGGCCAGGCCATTCATCGTGCAGTCTCCCTCCCTCTGCATTGTGCTGACTCTGTCTTCGTGATTCAGTCTAAATGTTTTTCCTGAAATGGACATGAGGGTTGGAGGCTTACCCAGATTTGGGTAGACTCAAGGCAAGCACACGACAGCTTTCTGAAGTCTTAGGTGTTCCTTGTTCAGGTTCATTAATTCGTCAG